TGGATCATGCTATTGTTGGTGTGAGAGATATTCACATTTACTTCAATAAGGACATTTGCATGTGAATGTGGACGCGGATGGATTATGCATTTGCAGTTGTAGTTACAGTTGCAGGTGCAGGTGCAGTGCAGATTCAGATGCAGGTGTAGGCAGCAACATGGCAGCAACATGGCAACAACATGGCAATAACATGGCAACATCATGGCAATAGCGTGGCAATAGCGTTGCAGTAGCATGGCCAAACTATTGAAAACATACATCTATCCAGTGGGGAATTTCACGGATGGAAAACCGGATATCGTACGGATAAACAATACTTTACTCAGCTATACCCAGCATTCAAGAAGCCGAGTCGAGTTTTGGAGAATTCGAGAGATGAGATGAATCTCTGGGAGGAGATACCTCCGGAAGAGGTCGATAGGAGGGAAGGGAGGTGGATAGTAATGTATATTCGGTAGAATAGTTTATAAATATTTGAGTTTATGTTTTATATTATAAATATTAATAGAAATTAATAAAAATAAAAATAAAAATAAAAATAAAAATAAAAATAAAAATAAAAATAAAAATAAAAATAAAAATAAAAATAAAAATAAAAATAAAAATAAAAACACAATTTTTATTGTTTTACATTTTCACTCCCCTCTTTAATTTTCCTTTCTTCTCCTCTTCTCCCCTTTCTTTCTTTCTTCCTCCTAAAATAAATAATAAATAAATAAGAAAAAATACCTACCATCTATCAAGTAAAATTCCAACTCAAAATTCCAACTACTTCTCCCCCTCCTCTCCCTCCTCTAACCTTCTAGCGATCCATACCAGTTCAACTTAACTACTAGATACCTATTCCAACTCCCAATCCTCATACTTCATATATTTCACAAATTATCAATCTATCAATCTATCAAACTAGTCCAAAACCAATCAACTCAAATACCTTATGAAAACAATAAAACAATAATAACTAACATATCCCATCCCATCCCGTCCATCATCTATCATCTATATCACTCACTACATATACACACTATACACTATACAAAAACCAAATACCCAATATTCATTTACTTATTCATTCATTTATCTATTCATATAAATAAATCATCTAACTTTTAATTCCGATTCAATTTACAGTTCCAACTAAACTAATCTATTTAATAACTGTATGTCGATACCAGCCTTCATACAAGCCGATTTTACTAATGGTTACTACTTATCAGATTTAATGCAAGGTATTGCACTAATTGACTGACTTTCCAGCTTCATAATTTCATCCATCCATAATACATATCAAGCAAATGCTGATGAAAAGTAAGTAGTAAGAGATTAGCAAATCTGGAAGTATCTACAGATTGCCAATCATTTTCAAGACTTTTGTATTTGTTTTTAAGTTCCGCCATACGTGTAGATTGCAGCCACATCATTTGCTTAAAGGCCTGCAGCACCGTATTTGTTTTCCATTCATTCCATCATGTCCTTTTTATCCCATACATTTTGTCACCCATTGCACCTCTCCTTCGTCACGTCCGTTCGAGGTGACTTTATCTGTGTTGGCAAAGTTTAAACATCGAATTCGGTTGCCAGCCGAAAGTAAGTCGGAATTATTTCCGAGAACCGTTGCCCTTCCCATATCAACAGTAAAGTCATTGTGATTTTTCATAATCTAGTAGCAGGTTTTTGAACAAAGGAAAATTGTTGAGAGGGCTAACATACTACGAGATGGTATGCTTTTCGCCCATTCGAAAATCAGTGTGGTTGAAACCTAAAGGGTTTTTGTAATCCCGCAAATGGTGAGAATGAAACTAATTCGAGTTGCAAAACCGTCCCTGTCGCCGAAGACAAAAATACCATAAGCAGTCAAAACTGGGGAAGAACAATCAACAAAAATTGTTAACTGAACTACCGGCACAACCAGGTCAAAAGGAAGAATGTCTGCTGTATGCCGAAGGCGGACGTCTACTATAGTAGATCCGGCCAACTTCAGTAGCACCAATGATAGTTGGTGTGCCTTGTCTTTGTACCTTCTGCTTGGCAAATGATTGAGTTTCAACATCCCCAATTTCGAGATTAAAAAGAAGAATTGTCATTGAGTTAGCCGCACACCTCAACCCATGTAGATCAACATCAGTTCGCTGAAGGTTGTTGTGTGAAGACAAGTTCACTTTCTTGAACATGGCATAAACAATTCCATGATCGCGAGATCTGGTTTGACTCAAAGGACATAATGGCATCAATACCCCAAAGTCTAATGAGCCTTCCTGTCGATGAGTTTCCGATGTCTCGTCTTGAGCCCAAATATGACAGAACTCATTAGTGCGCAAGCCCTTCAGGAAAGCTGTCTTCAAAGATAAGTTCCTATTAAGCTCAGACTCATAGCCATAAGGAAGACCATAAGATGCCAAGATCTTTAAATTAAGACCATGAGGTCCCAAAAGGTCTCTGTCCGACATGCCAGGGTATGGACAATCAACTTGAACAGCATATGTCTGATCGAAGCCAAACTGTCTGCCACTGAAGGAGCATGAAAAGGCTGCTTCCGCAATATTTGATCGCGGTGCACTGGATGTAGTATTCTCATCACCTTGATTTGGTCCACCAATCTTACTGGAAAAACTAGTTCTCATTGAATTTGAACTAATTGTTGAGAAGGGTCGGGTGAGTGATGTGCTGCGTCTTGCAACGTCTGGTTCCAATAGCTCCTGGTGATAATTGCTTCCTGCCATGCTGTCACCTTCCATGTACAATCGACCAAAGCTGTTATTTAACGAGATGCCGCTGGTCGAGGGACCAAGATTACGATAAACTGTATTTGGAAAGACAAATCGGGGTTGTTTTGGAGTAGTTGGTCCATCAAGGTCCAACTGATAATGGCTGTAACTGTCGTCAGAATAGAAAGTGTCATTTGGTGTGTTGTTCTGTGGCATATCCACCGATGTTAGATCACTTGTAGAATATGGACGGCTATCAGGATCCACTGCGCCTGGAAAATTTTGGGATCGGGTGGGCGTTAAATATTGGCGAAAGGCCTCTGGAGAATTATCATTAGGAAGAGCGGACTCCGCAGACACGCTCCGATAATGTCCTGGCGCGGCCATATATAGAATATCAGAATCACGAATCGAGGAGTCGTGAGACATTGATATAGAAGTTTCAGGAGTGTTGACAAAAGAATCCTCATTTGAGAACTCTGATTGCTTCGAAAAAGGTGACGACTGTTTCTGATACTGGAGTCCCACGGGGGAAAAAGCTGGCTGGGTGACTAGAGGGGATGGTTTTTTTTTGAAAGTGGAGTGGATTGGGAACCAAATTGGTCCTTGTATCTCTCTTTGTCACAGCGAGAGAACAGCGCAAGTCAGGGTCCAACATACGTTCGCCGTGCAAGCAAATATCTTTAACGGATAGAGCTGCAAACTCAGCAAGCTCTCGTCTGTCTACTCGGGAGAACTCAGATCTAGGTTGTTTGCTGTGAATAGAAAAGACGCCCATTATTTCTCCAGAATCTGAGATCAACGGTGCTGCAGCGAACAATCGAATATGGGGGGAGCCAGTGACCCAAGGATTTCCTGCGAACCGCCAATCCTGCGTGATCGTTAGCGAGACCTTCTATTGTAGGAACAAATATAATAACAAACCTGATGTGTGTCCAGAATTACCAGGACTTCTTCCGAGTAAAGCGCGTGGGCTGAAATGCTTGTCGTGCGGTCGAGCTTCGTGAGATTGTAACCTACCTCAACTCTCAATATCTCGTGCCATTCGTCGAAAGCACTGACAGCAGCACAACTGAGGCGGAATCGTTTTGCTGCCGCTCCCATCAAAGCAATAGTTTTACCACCTAACTCCGGAGTCCAGGGAGCATCAATGGAGTAATGCTTTGTGATTCGACTTTCCTCATCATGTGGATACACTGCTGGCAAGTATTCAAAATGCACACTGCGTGGAGGTGGAGCCGGGGGCTTCGAGATATTGAAATAGCCCTAGAATTATGTCAGGTTAATTAATCGGATGTAGAATTTTGCATCATAATTCATGCGAAGTAAAAAAACCGAAAGTAATTACTTACCGAGGAATAAGACTTGATGTAATTGGTCCATTCAGCAATAGCAGCATTATCACCAGCCGGTGCTGATGCTACAGCAATGAATTCATGTTGCTCTTCTGGGTCGGTAATGACATTAAATTCTTGAGAAGTCTCATTATAAAATGATGATAAATCAACCGGTGATGATTGCTCTTCATCACAGTCAGTGGTAGTCTGCCAATCAGACTCCAAGACTTCAGAAATTGACTCATTCAGTCTGGCGGCAGCTCTGGCTCTGGCTCTTCCAATTTGTGTGTTTCCAATTGGGCTTGAGGTCATTCTACGAAGTGCATTTGGCTCTCCTCGGGGAACAAGTCTTTGCCCTGGCATAGGACGAATAAAATCTGGAGGTGGCAAAATACCCATTTCATCCAATGGATCAAAAGGTTCCGGCTCCGACTCTGTTTCCACCGGAGTGTCTTCACTGCGACTGTATAATGTCTTCCCTCGACTCGGAAGGTCCTCGTTACTCCTTGCACCATCGGACCTCGAATCCTTTTTGAAAAGGCGAAAAAAACCGCCCGACTTCTTTGTACCTGCTGAAGTATCACTGAGACCAGTGTGGAAGTTGCTGCTGTCAAAGGAACTTGTTGTTTGCAATGACGGACTTGAGGGTAATGGAGGACTTTGCGGAAATTGGTGAACTTGAGCATTAACAAATCCACCAAAGCCGCTTGATTGTGACGCTGGTGCTGTTTGTGTTTGGAATGGACCTGGAGTGGGAGATCCTGGTATTGTTGCACCTCTTGCGTGAGACTTCGGCTTCTTTGGCCTTGGAATCGCTTGATCTATTCAAGTTAGAATTCAGAAAATCCCCAAAGAAGTATTTCGTATGAAAAGTAAAAGAAAGAGAAGGTGAAGTAAATCAAGTGACTTGACAGTGATATAATGATGGAATTTGTGAGGGGCATGTGCTCGAGGGATATGGTGATCGGAATTGTAGAAGGTGAAGAAATATAAGAGTGTATTGCTAGAGCCAAAGAACATTGTGGTATGGATAAAACGCAGCCATTATTTATTAGCAAGTGATAAAAAAAAGTCACAATCATGTTATATGACAATAGAGCATACTTACATGTCATTGGACCAACTCCCAACATCTTGTTAATAACTCAAGTAAGGTAACCTTTAGATGGTGAATCTGCAAATGTTAGTCATCCGGCCCGATGACCACACGTCTGGAGATATCGAAGGGAGAATAAGTATCATATTTGGTATATGAACTTACGGATAATATGGACAGTGGACTCTTGGTGAAATTTGTTGGAGGCTTGCTGGAGACTCGCATTGAGTTTTGACAGAATCGACTTCCTCAAGGCCAGTGGATCGTAGTAAAGCTACAAAATCAAATGACCACCGACAGTTTCGGTAAAACTACTGATCCATGGGTGTTAACTAACTGAAACAATGCCATAGCAGGAATGAACTAGAACTTACTGCTTTATGGCTAAGAACAGGATCAATCCTAACCAAGTCTTAAACAGCTTCGAGAACTGTGCAAAATTATGATTGGATATTGTTTTGCGTAAGGTTATGATAAAACTCCACTCTATCACTGCAGACTTGTTCAAATCAACAATTGGATCTCAAAAGCTGTAGAATAATTGTTCGACGGAGCAAGAAAGGTTGAAGTTTGAAATCGAGAAGTTTCAAGTTGGAGAGCAGGAGATTGCCTCAACCGCTAACGCCGATTGCGGGGCAAGAAAGTGAATTTCGGAATATTGCTGTTGAAAGTTTTGTAAGGGAAATGGCTTAAAACTCTGTGAAGCTCTTTGCTTCGGGGTGATTAGCTTCTCAATAGTGAATGACTTTGAATGAAAGTGGTTGAAAGAGAAATGAACTACAGTATTCAAGTCAAGAAGAAGGCCCTGAGCTTTTGTTAGTAACGCCTTTGGGTATATTGGAATATGATGCGCCCATCCAAAGAGCAGAAAGAGAAATGCATACACTGTTATCTGAACAAATTATAGAGAGAATTAGTCGAGACGACAGAGTGATAGAATGATTAGATAAATCAAGGTGTTGAGTAATTGGATGTGGGCACTTCAAGGAATGCTTACCATTAATAAACTTGACTTCTCAACAATGATAATATGCACAACCTATTATGCAATAGTTTCTCTGAATGGGAACTGAAGTCCTCAAGATGAAAAAAGTCAACAAGCAGGGTTGCTGTGGTGCTGTTCTTGTCTGAAGGAGTAGGAGAGTAACTCAAGTCCGGGAAATTTTTGAGGTCGAGCTTGTACAGAAAAGGAGATTGGAAGATTCAATCTACACTTAAGCATCCAATTGATCCAGTTGATTGAGTTGAAGTTTCAAGTTCGAAGATTCCAGGGCCTGCCCAGTTGCCTTTGAAAAAATATCTCCCCGATTAACTTTTTTCCAACCACAAGCTAAACCAACCATCTAACACAATCACTGGGTAGAAGAAGTGAACTTTATATCCGTCCAATCCTAAGCTATGAAACCATAGAAAGTCTAGTGATTATTGGAAAGTCTCTAAAGGAAAGTCGTCATGATTCAAGTATCCAGACAAGAGATTTTTTTTGAACGAATGTTGATCCGACCCTGATCCAGTTTTGCTAAGTTGAGTGCATGGAAAATGCAGGTTCCTAATCCGTATCCTGGAATAAGCAAAATAGAACAAGGTGCCGCTCCTTTGGAAGTTCGAGGTGCGGAATCTAGTGCGACAGGCCGTTTATTTCCTAATTCAACAGTCTGACTGCAGTGCTCTTAAGTCTTCTGAGAGTTGTCGGCCGCTATTTATTGCTGCATCATGTATTTAGTACCAGGTAGTGTAATGTGGGAAGAACTGTGAGGGGTGATTTGGAGTAACGTGGGGCTATGGAAATGTTGTGCATACAAGATGGTACAAGGTACACATAAGTGTTTTGAAGGGAATTTCGTGAAAGGAGAAGATTGATGGGATGGATGGATGTCGTAGTATCTAGTGTCAAATACGAAAAGGACGTTCTTTTGGTGAGATTGAATGTAGGTAATTAGGAGGACTCTTAAGTAGGTATCGAAATGAATGTGAGTGTAAAAATCTAAAATTCCGATGCGAATGAACGGGGGACTGAGAGACGAAGAAGAAGAGGAAGAAGCAACGAGCACAAGGGCCATACGATAATTAAGAATTGAGCAAGTAAGACTTCTTTCTTTCTGTATTTCATGAAATACCGCCGAGAATACTGGGTAATATGGATGCAAAGACTGGTTTTTATTTACTCTGTGGTTGTTATCGTCGATAAATAGAAGGAACCTATATCATCGTGGCTTCTTCATTTATGCGTCGCGGCGATGATACTAGATAGATCATAGATGACATCAAAATCCGAGATGCAAAGATTCAGATCTTAGATATCACCCTGAAACCTTAAACTTCCATGCTATTTCAAATACCCATTTCTCCTTATTCAAGCTCTTTCTGTCTGTAGTACTATACATAAGGAAAGACAACGAGAAGCCCTCGCCTCGTGCGAAAGGGTTGTCACTGACATATTGAGGCTGGAGTTGCGAGTTACCCGCATGCTCGTTTGTATCCCTTACCTCACGGATCTTCTCCAGCAGTTCCGTACCAATACCCTGATCTGATCATTTTTCCATCATCACTTATTCGGGACAGATTAAAAGATGTCTCAAGATATACCTGGTACCGTACTGATGACAAGTTTAAAGATGGATGAGATATCGATGTGCGGCGCTTCGTTTGGCTAAAACCAATGAATCAAAGGATCAATGAATCAATCAATCCGATTAGTTCATCTAGATCCATATTTCATTATTCATTTCATCCAATTATCTTGACAGCTGAAAGATCCATGAATGTGGTATAGGTAAGTCCTACTTGCCGGGTCTTGGCAATTGCATTGGATCTGCCCCTTCCATTTTACGAAAATGTGCCTCTGGAAAATACCTAACCTCAACGTCCAGCTTCCACCGCTCCTTCTGTACAACTTCTTTAGATTCTCTTTCGTGCGGTATGCTTTCGTTGATGCAATCACTGTGTTCTTTTTTGGTTTTTTTTCTTTTTCATTCTTCTCATATCAAGGTTATTAGCTTTTTTTAATCGTCGGATTAATACTTCTTTCCACCCAGTGGCTTATCGATTGTTTCCCTCTCTATATGTCTCATCATAGTTTGACATCCCACATTTTGACCGTCATCAAGCTTTATGCAGCATATGAATATCGATTTAAGAGTTGTTATGCTTCGATCCCAATCTATTTCGAGATTGAGAAATCCATCATGGCTCCTCTTTCCTTTCCCCTCTCGTTCGCATCAATCATGTCGACTTGCGCCGGATACTGTACAATAAAAATTTATGCATAATCTACATTTGGGTCTCGAGTCTTCCATGGAACGGAACGGACGTTGTGTTATTCAAGCTGCAAGAAATCTTCCGAGGCAAGCTTTTACTCAACCCTACTTCGGAGGTCACCGAATAAACAGCTGGTTTTTATCATGAATTGTTTCCGTGTCGTGTCGTGTTTCCTCCAAGGTGCCGTTTCATTCTTTATTCTGCATTCGGTAAATCCTTTAGTTTCATAACTTGCCCCCTTTCATTTTGTCAGCTAGCACAATGCTCGTCGACCTCTTTCATGGCCATGCTTACAATCTGCAGGAACCAAAAGCAGAAGATCCACTACATATTAACGGAATCCACCTTGTGTTTACACTTCCACAATAGGGCTCACACAAACATCAACCCTCTCATTGAAAAATCTTTCTCTCAAGCCGCCGATGATCGTCCATCATTTGTACAACTGAATTAAGCTAAACATACAATACCCCTCTAGTATCTGCACCCAGCCGTCTATCGGGCTCTTCGACAAAGTTTGAAGGCACCTGCAATGAACCGATATCAATCATGTGCCAGAGTATCTTCACACCATTTCATGAACCATGATTTCCACAAGTTAACATCACACAATGTTTCAGATGGCTGTGAAAAGTTTCACACATCATAGGGCAGAGATGTTTCTATGATGTCTATGTTATTCATGAACTGAAATTGATGTATCATCATATCACCTTGATTCCTACCTACCTGCCTCCTTTCAATATCCCGAATTAAGGCTTTTCATCAACCTCTTTCATCAGTGCGTCACGATGAGTTTTCTGGTACATCAAAATAATTGATTCAAAACCACAAATGGTATCTCGGTCAGTTATCCACGATGCATACACAACTATATGTATATTCTAAGGATTAGGTAGCCTGTTCAAGGCAAACAATATCTGGTTTGAAGATTGATTTCTTTCTCTCGACTACAATATTTACTTTCTTTTCTTGGGGTCTTAGATGGGCCAATTCTGAGAATCACAAAGTTCACACACACATCTAAACATGAACTAGTTACCGGCAGATATGATATAATTATGAAAAAACAAAGAGAAAAAGAAAAGATTGATTCATAGCCATCCAATTGTATATCTATGAAAAAAAAAAAAAAAAAAGAAGAGCAGGAAAAATTAAACCTAAGATAAAATATCTCAAGATATTACATATATTATAAACAGGTTAATTTACATAAATTACAATCTTCAAAATCATAAAACTTCACCTGTATCAAGGAAATCTTTAATTACCCTATCTCTCCAAATCGAACTCATCAATCCTTCAAAAACCCAGATATTAATTAATCCAAATAATTCCTCCTTAACGCTTCAACCCCGAGAGGAAAGGAGGAGATGGAAGAGGAGAACGAGAAGGGGAAGTTCTTTATATATTGGGGTGATAATGATTCTACGAAATGGAATGAAATTAATAGAATCAATGAAATCAATAGAATATATATTTTGCACTTTTGTTCAGTAATATTTGTTATTTATGCTAGGCTATGTATGGTATGATCTCATATTTTATAATATGACTGACTGACTGACTGACTGATTGATTGATATAGTCTGGTTGTCGAATAGTATGGTGAAATGGAGCATTTGCTTCCATATATTACTAGGTATATATTTCCATATATGCATACCTGTTTATCCAGTTCATCTATCACATCTATATTCATCATCCAAGTCCCTCCAAGCCCATTTTCATCTTCATGCCTAATCCCTACTTAACGGCAATAAATCCGATTCCATTTCTCGCATGATCCGCCGCCCTATTCATAGCCTGTTCTTCCACGTCCGTCCATTTAACACTCAACTTATCCCATTTGGTCGTCTTATACTCATGTTGAAACTGTTGTTTCATTTTTTGATATCTGACCATTTCTTTTGGATCGCCTGAGCCGCTGTAAATGATGAATGCTGTGCAAGGGGGAAGCGATTCGTAGATTTTGTGGATGCGCTGAGTGAGAGCCAGGGTTGCTGATGCAAAGGGGTCGGATGGGTGGGAGAATGTGGCCGCGTTTGTTTGTGGTGGCTCGGTGCTTGTATTGCTTGGCGATTTTGAGTTCTTGGCAACACTGATATCCTCCATGGCGTTTTGCTTTGTAGAAATGTTGGATTCAGGGGTGTCGGGTGCTGGTTTAGGGTTTGACTCTTCCATGTCAGTATCTACTTTCATGTTTTCGCCGCTTTTAGGAGCTGTGATATTTTCCTCTACTGCTGTGTCTGTTGAATCTGCAGCACGAGGAAGTCTCTGGTTGTTCCAACCCTTTAGATCCTCTAACTCTCTAAATCTTCCCCAGACGAAATCTACACCACCACCAGGAATCTCCTTGCCATCAGTATCCCCATTTGTAGCTCGAATGACACCTTCCATGACCTGCTCATCACTTTTGCATCCAACGGAGAAGGTTGCAGCACCACCAGGACCTCTCTTTGGATCACCCCAATCAATAGCAGCTGATGATTTACCATCCGTAAAATCTGGTATGGATGATCCTCCCTGGCTCTTATATCGAACGCCTGCTCGGGCTAATCGCTTGAAGACGTTCTCACCTTGTGAGTCATTTGCTCCCCAGTCAGATCCCTTCTCACACTTAAGCTTTACGAGATCAAGACAAGTTCTTGCGTCCTCAGTCGAGTCATGACCAGTTGCTCCATGTCCCTTCTGGATCTCTTTGCCGAGATACTTTTGCGCAAGCCATTTCAGGGAGGATTTGAGTGGTGGACCACGAGGATGAGGATATATAACAGCAGTATCGATAATATATGGATGCGTAAGTTTGAGGGCTTTAAGGTCTGAGTCGAGGGAATGACCGATCAAGATCGAACGTGAGTGAAATAGTTTGACTAGTCTCTTCTGTATGTCTTGTAATGTTGTTGTGACTGGAGCAAGCATTGATTCTGTGATACCAGAATATCTAGAAACCATAAGCAACATGATTAAACGAAGAAATGAAAACTTACTGAGTGAGATAATCAATGATTGGCTTCTCGGGTTTTACAAGCTCATCAAGTACAACTGATCCGTCCCAACTAACAATACTTATGCGCGTGAGTGAGAACTCATTCTTGTCAGTCATACACATTTCACAATCCATAGCGAAGATCTCTCTGCCAGCTGTCAAACTTCCTTGCTCAATCGCATCATCTGGGACGGATCCTTCATCAAAATTGTTGACTTCTGTATCTACCCATCCATGAGCCTCGTCGACCTCCCAGGTTTTTCGCTGCTCCGCCAAGTTATTTTTATCGATTACCTCGTTGTAGGATGCGGGATGAAGGGTATAACCATTCTCTTGGAGGTCTTCTGGCGATGTGAGGAATTGAGTTATTGGCGTGCGATTGTTCTGCCAGCCATTAGGTTCTCTAGCTTTCCTGGGACCTTTCCCATTGTTATTCTTGTTTTCTTGGCTTTTAGTTACAGGTGCTGTTAGCATAGCATGTAAAGGGGAATGCATCTTTGCATATTTCTTGTCTCCTGGTGTTTTGACTGGCCATATATACTCAAACATATCCGCAAACAACTTTAGATTTTCAGGCAGAGCTTCAGATTTTAGCTTGCGGGGCAGATATTCATCCGGGGAATGTCGACGCCCATCAGAAGCAGGTTTAGTACCGAACATAGATTCTTCAAGTCCAGGGACCATAAGTACGACAACTTTTCGAAATTGTGGTCGATGGCGGACAGAAACAAACTGAGGGGCCATGCCATCAGCAAGAAGATAGAGGACTAGACATTGCAAATCTCCAATCTTGATTTGTCCCGACAGTCGAGACTCTTTTGCTGAGAAAGTAATAGCAGGGTAATTTCCATTTCCAGCCTTTGGTATCTTCTTAGCTTTCTTTTTTGGTCGCCTCTCTACTGTTTGCCATTCTTGCGCAGAAGGCTTCTCACCAAGCTCTTCTTTAGCTGAAGACTTTGATGATGTCAGGTTGAATTTTGGTAAATCTGGTTGACGAAGCTCTGATGATACTTGCTCCATAACAACTGAATTGGATTCCTCTTCTTCTTCATACTTGCGCTTCTTAAAATTAATATCCCCAGCGGATTGCTGCGCCACAGCGGGAAGGTCTGCGACAGTCATTTTGAGGATTGTCGTAGTTGGATAGTTGGATGTGCGTGTGTCGGATTTTGGATAACTTTATCGAATCTAATCGGGCGGTGAGGTGGCAGAAATGACTTACTCTACCTGATACGGAAAAGCGTATTGTTAAGCGCATTTTTCGGATTTATGTTGAATCTGCATCCTATTCTAATTCACTTATTATAATTACGAGGAAAAAGCGGATATTTATAAAGCAGTTTATTATATCGGCTTTGCTGCATCCTATATCGCCAGTTTCATCACTCTCTCCAATATGTTTGTGCGTGCAAAGTCGATTGAACAGTACTGTATCATATTAAAGAAGGATTCGAGACACGAAAAGACGCGACCGCGCGAATTCAGCAGTACCATTAACCTACTGCACTTGATTGATTGATCGATATAAATTTCCTTCCTTTTTAGTTCAAATTTTATTGTATCAATCAACAACTGTAACTCCAAGATCATTCCAGCTTCAGTAACTTGCGAGTCCATTTTCGACTGGCAAAATCAAACAGTTCTTCTAATTTTCAAGATCTCACGTCTTCTCAAACATATCCTTGCACGAAATCTTTACCTGCATCAGTATACTACTGCATTTAAGATGTCTCCAGATGCTGAAGTTATCATATGCTATTGCCTAAAGTGCGGTGTCAAGCTTGGCGGTTTTGGAAATTCATGGGAAGGCCTTGGAAAGACTTATTACATACCTAAATTCATTAAGGATGTCACGGGATTTAAAGGAGTTGGTGCTATCAAATTGTCAGACGGACCACTGCAGGTGGGAACTGTTATAGAAAATAGGTATGTGCCCTGAAGTTCGATCTTGTATTTGATACTCATCTATACTAGTGCTCTTCAAGATTTGGCCTGCTCAGACTGCCATGAAGTACTTGGCTTGCGATGCGATAGTGCACCAGAAGGTCACCTGTTGAAGAGGTGTGAAATGTTTCCAATCATGAATATAGTACATTAGTTAATTTCTTGATAGTAATCAACTGCTCTTATGCGCCAAGAAGTTATCAATGGAGTCGCAACGAACAGGAGAAAGGGCAGTATTATCTGTCACAAAAACACATGACCTAACGAAATCATCAAACAAATTAAGGTCTCTATCCAAGAGACCATCAATATTTTCACGCGCTCCTCGCCCCAGCGATATACCACGCCAGAGTGTCGAAGAGCCTTTCACCCCAGCAGTATCTTCACCATTGATGCCTGACGATTCGGCTATGATGGCAACCATACATGAGCAACGAAAGGATATTGATCGTATTGATGCTGCTTTGCGTCGCTTCCAAAAAGATATGCAGGATGTCAAATTATTTTTACAAAACATTCGCCAAGAAATGAACGAAGTCCAGAATACTCGCCCTGTTACTGACAGCGTCTTTGAATCCTTCCAGGAAGATGTCCTCTGCGCGAGTGAGAAAGCCAGTGGGGTGGATGATCTTCGCACAGAGCTTTATTCCTTACGCGCACGGGTTAAGGATATGGAAAAAGCTACTCGCCAGGCTCTTGTCTCGGAGAATCGAGTACTAACAACCCCAGAACTTTCTGATGAATCGCAAGGACGAGATATGCAGAATTCAATACCAATTGGAACATGGAATCAGCCTAGTGATGTGAAAGGTGCACTAATGGCTGGACGTAGCGGGGCTTTGAATCGAAAGCGCCGGTATAGTGAGGCCGAATCCGATCAGATGGACGATAAAGCTGCAAAGCTAGCAAAATTTGGGGAGTACAAACGCAGGAAGGAATTGGAAGGTCGGCAAGATGGAAATACAGGATCAAACTCAATAACTCCTACTCGTCTCGCAACCAAAGGACCGGCCACGCTTTCACAGCCTCGTACCGAGTCTCCCATTCTAGGTCTTTATGACAAGAGTGGTGATGCTGATCATACTAAACAAGACGATAATGTCCAGCATATGGAGCAAGATATGGAAAGGCAGATACCGGAGTCACCCTCACAACAAATAGACACTGAATTGACCACTCTTGATGAACACAACAACATTGAAGAAAATCAGCGTCTCAAGCGAATCTCGCAGGCTACAGGAAACCAGATTCCGGAGTTATCTCAAAATACATCCTCACGATCCTCCAATATTCCCTTTAGGACCTCGGGTGGGGACTCTTTCACATCTGACCTGCCACAAAATCATTTCCAAAGCCTAAACCAACGAATCGAAGTCCTCAACTCTTCACAATCAGGATTATCCCAGAACACACAAGAGCAACAGCTTCCAGCCCAGCCGCGCCGAGGTCCTGGCCGCCCTAGGTCTGCAAATAAACCAATTCCTCCTGCTGATAGTATGCCTCATGCTCACCGAGGTCCTGGCCGTCCTAGGTCTACAAATAAACCAATTCCTCTTGTTGATAGTACGCCCCATGCTCACCGAGGTCCTGGCCGTCCTAGGTCTACAAACAAACCAATTCCTCCTGCTGATGTTACGCTCCATGCTCACCGACCTCGCGGTCGTCCCAAGGGCTCGCTAAACAAAAATCATTCCGATAGTAATATATCGTTTCGTTCTAGTAATGAAGAATTGTCTACGCCAGGACGAGAGTTGCGGAGACGTACCATTCCTTTTCCGGGGTCGAGTCCGCCGGTAAAGGAAGTTGCAAATACATCAAGTAATAATCTCGTGATTGACTTGACCGAGAAGGGGAGTGGTGAGACTGGAGAGCTGCGGGAGATTGGAGAGAGCCCGATGGCACAATCATCCCAAGCTCAAGAGGATCATTCTCCTTCACTTCAAGATGTGGAAATGGAAGATATATTGCAGCCTATTAACCCCACGAAAAGACAAAGAAGAAACACCCGCAGTTCTCGTCATAGACCTTCCGTCGATTTAGACGAAATTCTCAATTCCAGACCCGCAAACACTAATAGTGACATTGCTATGGCTTCGGAGGAAAATGAACGTGCAGGAAACCAAGCCAAACGGGACGGCAGATATCTAAGCGGGTTTAATGGGACGCCTTCCGATGAGGATGAAACGTACACTGAGAATTACGATGCTGACAAGAAGGGGAAGCAACATCAAGAACGGAAAAAAGAAGATGAACGGGAGGAAGAAGGGTGGAGAGGAAGAGAAAGAGAACGCGAAATGGACAAAGAATCGGAAGAGAGAAGAAGAAGCACTCGGACGAGGGAACTAGAGAAGAGAGAGGAGTTGGTTAAAGAAATGCTTGGGAGGGATGATTGAAATTAGGGTTACAACATGGTTTTGGAAGATTTTAGTACATGGAATGAGGTGTCATTATCCTTCTCCCTGATTCTTGGGGTGTATGAGTGTAATCCGGGATTCGGGGTTTGCCTACTTGACGATCATCGACGGAAGGGGAAATGGAGGCGAACCAGTTTTGGCGATGATATTAGGCGGATAAAGGCGGTAGAAAAGGATAATCTTGATTCATAATTCTCTTTCACAATCAACATAATACAAAGTATTCTTTGATTATAATCATGTTATTTTGCATGTCTAGTATCATGTTTCATATCCTCTAGCTTTGTAAAATAATGCATGCATCGCCACAAACTAATTTTTAAACATCTTCCTGTCCTACGGGAAAAGATGATTGTTCTGCAAATCGCCTGCTTGTAATCGTATTGTAGTTATTTTTGTCCCGCTCAGTCAGGTGCTGAGTCATATTCTATTCCGTCTGATCCATCTTAAGTCCTCCTATCCCCTCCTAACCTCTTACATCTAAACGCCGATTTCATACCCACAATTCACAAGTTCGTAACCTCATGCACGGTCTCCCTCTCACGCGCCACAACCTTCCACACACCATCCGCCAAAGCCCTTAACCCAGCCCCCAACCTCTCCGCATAAACCTCTCCCAATCCATCCATGCCCCCTCCCCACTCCCTCAACGCCCTCCCCACGACTCCATCTCCCCTTCTCCCCTGAATCTCCTCCACATCCGCAATATCCATCTCCACCCCCCTCATAACTTTACTATCATCCCCCCAACATTTATTCCCCGTCTCCCTTAACGCATACATAACCATCTGACACGCACTCACCCAATCTATTTCACACAGAACCTTTGCATGCACGCCGTTCTCCGCTGCGAATTTCCTAAGAATTTCCACATCATAGCTTGCCATTATTTTGAGAAGACGTTGCAGAGCTAGTAGTCGAGTGACTCGTTGGGGATGATATGGACTGGGGTAATTTATGGGATCTGTATGATGGATTAGGAAAATGAGAATTATTAGCGCAGGGATATATTCTGATTTTTCTAGATAGATGAGATAGATTTCGTTGAGAAGCATGGATAAAGGTTGTTGCGCATAACGCTGTAACAGAATGAGGTCGTTTAGGTTTCCTAGTGCTTCTTTGAAGAAATCGAGACGGTGGTCGATGTTTTGGTGGTCTTTGTGGGCGTTTGATACGCTTGCTTCGATATGACGCTGTACGTGGAGTAAAGAGAAGAGTTGAGTTACAGTATTTGGATCTTCTTCTGCCACGCGGGATTTTGCGAAGTCATAGGTTGCTTGAAATGGGACCAGCTTGTCGAGTATAGGAGTGAAGATGGTGGGATAAGTCATAAAATTCTCGTATATGCTTTGAAAATTCGTGCAGCGGGAACACCGACATTTGAAAAACCATGTTTCTTCTAATGCCGCCTGGCGGACTTCTTGTCGTTGTGTTTCGTCGATGTACGAAATGAAGATTTGTTCTCCATTTTTGATGGGGAAGAGAGCTCGGAGGGTAGCACGCTTTCCATCGAATGTGATAGCTGCGTTGGGATAACAACAGTGATTAGCGCGTGCTAATAAGGGATCGAGACAAAGGCCAATTGGTCCATTGCCGACATTGGACTCGACGCGAAATGCATTGGTGGAGAGCTATGGGTATTTATTAGCAGGCATGTAAAATTAGAGGTATTTTGTTATATCTACCCGACAGAGAGCCTCTAGAGTATAGTTCGCAAACTCTGGTTTCAATTGGAGAAGATTTATTACAGCATGTGCTTGCAACAGGAGATCATCCCACTTTGAGTTGTTCTTTTCAAGATCGTCCCGGTGAGACGAGAGCTCCATAAACGATGAGTCTTTGGTTATAGATACAGGGTGGCTGATCAGTTGGATTGTGGCGCGCACAGCTGTAGGAAAAATCTTGTTCGAATTTTGTGACTGCACATCCTTGCATTGTTGCCCATGGAACGAGCGATCCAGATTTTCGCATTTCTCGTCGCAATAGTTGACCGCCTTGCAGCCAGGACAAGTTAGAGTTGCCTTCTTTGACCGACATCTTGAATAAGCACAAGCAGTGTTTATTTCTGCCTTGTCGGAAGTTTGAGCGTGAGAGTGCTCAGAGGGCTTTCTTGACTTTAGATAGGCACATTCTGCTCTGTGGGATCCTGATTTTAATGATGATTTTTCGCAACCATCACAACAAAAATTTACAACACCACATTTGGAGCAGGGTCTTAGCTCCAGATCTTCTCCTCTTTCAACAAAACAATTGGCGCATACACGGTGTAGTGCTTGATTCTCGGTAATCAACAAAAGGGGCTTGTAGATGATAATAATGGAATCCCCAGGATTTAAATTGACTGTTGAAAAAAGACCGTATCCCAGGTCATTATCCGCGCTAATTCTTGTATGATTTATTTCCATTTGCCTTGATGTTGCTTTTATGGGGTACAGTTATCGATGCACTTGGATGTGGGTTGTGAATAATGTTGAAAGTTTGCTAGTCTATCGTTGATCTTTACCTTAACCTTATCCTCGCTTAGATAGCCAATCATTGGACGACCAGGTTATAGTAAGTATAACAACAACAACAAGATATTGTCTGCTGTTATATAGCTAGACCATTCCTCAGAATATTTCTTAGTCTTCAAAAGTTAATAAAAATAAGCTTGGAATTTGAAATGCTCCATATTTTGTCTAGAGACTGCTTAGTTACATCTTCCCTGATACCTTATCGAAGTCGATCTTGCCCTTTTCTTGCGATTAGCTACCTAGCGCTATGGCTAGCATGCATATGGAAGCCCTTCTGAACATCACTACGTACAATCCTTATTGAGATTTTTTCATTAGTATCGAATAAGTCAGGATCATTTGATAGCCATCTCTTATTTATCCTCCATTGTCTTTTATAGGCATCTTCTAGTCAGACTTGACTTGGTGCAAGTGGGAAATCAAGAAAAATGCTTGAAATTCCAGAGATTGATGTAGGCATGAACGATGTTGCGCTGCATGAAAGATAGCCAACTTGTAAACTCTTGCAAAGAAGATACTTCATGGACTTCTTTGAGTAGCAATAACTGTCGGAATATACTCCCCAAGACCAGCGGGGCTGCCCTATATCTGGTATTTGGTAGCGCAATAGTGTAAATCTCCCATTCCTGATCAGCTTTCCTTGCTATTTCAGAAAAAAGGGAAAATATGTACTATCGTTTACGCTCTAGCACATGGCCGAACGGAGATTGGAAAGTAAGCCTTGGAACAACGTAAGATTGCATTCTTCAAAGTTAGTTCCGCAAGCTGGAGGATAATTGGACGCAAAAGATACCATTTGCAGAGTTCACATATGCCAATTTTAAGCATTCAGCTATTGCATCCCCCCGTTTGAAGCTACTTATGGCCATATCCCCGAGGCTTTATGGTGAGAGCGTCTCTGCAGAGGGTTAAGTACCAAATATCAAGGAATGCACCCTAGCATCCGAAAAGCATAAGGGAGCTTTACAGTAAAGACGGAAAGAAGTAGTGGGAACAAAAAAGGCAATGCGATAAAAGATGCCAATTAAAAACTTTAGCATTCAATGAAAGACCACATTGTCCACCAGAACCTGCGACTAAAGCCTGGAAAACTAACACTTGAAAAAATTTGTCCATTGAAAAAGATCGTCAAATGCAATAGCCCTATCGCACACCTTCATCCTAATCATAAAGAAACATCGCGTTGGATACACCCTTGCTTTAATCTAACCCTACCAGCGCCGATAACGATCCTACCAAGTATTCTGAAGCAGAACTTACAAAGTTAGCTGAAGTAGAAGAGATAGCTATACACAAAGGTGGAAGAGGGGCTGGCTGGCTGGACGAGTACTACACTTGATAGCAACAAGCTAGTGGAAAATTATCACCAAAGCCTGAAGTAGAGAAACCCAACCGCGGAGCAAGAAAACTTAACACAGCAGCAAAACCGGAATCTGTTCCTAGTGGACCAAGATGGCCAAAGAGAGGAACTATGGAAATAAAGGAAAGTACTGAAACAAGTAACTTAGATCTAGGGAGATACTCTTCTCCAGGCATATTCTTCCTTTATGAAGAAATTCCTTTGGCGTTTATCGATATTCTACAAGTATAAAGTTTCATCGAGGTCTGACTATAGGATGCACAAACGATTTCAATCATGAATGAGTGTAAAGGACTTTGAATTGATGCTTTACAACCTACAAATGGAAATTATAGATAAGGGGCTCAAGGCCTAGCTAATTAGGAATTTGGCGCGAAATAAGATGTAAAAAGAATGAACCATTAACCCTTGAATGAAAGGTATGCCATTAGCTGTAAGAAAAAAGGTTCCTCCGTCATGTTGCGTCATCCTGATAAATTGCACCAGCCCTTTATTGACTCCAGAAACGCAGATACTCGAATTTAGTGGGGGCGGAAGTCCAGCGGTGTCAAAGCATCACCCAAAACGAGTATGCCAGAAAATGTGTGCCGTGAACCATAAATAACCGCAAGAAGAATATTCGCTAAACCTCCATGTCTGTTCATATAGCCCTTCCCTATGATGAGAAAGACCGCCGGAGAAGCCACCCGAAACTGCGACTGCGACTAGAACAGTAACCAGAACGGCGACTAGGCTGCTCGGCGCTGGGCGTTGATTTTTCGTTGGTATTTGGCCATGAGTTTTTGACGTCGGGCCTTAGCTCTTTGGCGCTGGGCGCCGAGTTGTTGTTGAAAATTAGCCTCGAGTTGTTGGCGTTGGGTGTCGAGTTGTTGTTGAAAATTAGCCTCGAGTTTTTGGCGTTGGGCGTCGAGTTTTTCGTTTAAATCGATGTTGTTCTGAATAGCATGCCGAACAATTCTCTCTTGGAGATCATCAACCTTGCCCTCCAGATTATCGATTCGCTCTAGCTGGATCTCAGTGAATTTAACCATAATGTCTTCGTCCTCAACTTGATCTTCGAGGATTGATAGCTGATGAGTATCATTATTAGACATGATTATTTAGTGATAGATAGAATCAAGCCCACAGGTGGTGATATTTGTATAAGGGATCGGGGATTTCAATATTGATGAAGATGGACACTATTGAAAATAATACATACCTGTTTGTGGAAAGTCGAAGTCTTTTAAGTTGTTGATATTATTGAGATGATCAATGCTCAAAAGCTTTCTATTGTAGGTTGATCAACTTTGAAATAGGACATTGTTTAAATGTATCTAGATGACATCACAGCCTGTCTTAAATTATTATGAGAAAGATGATCAGTGGCTGTATGAAGAACTAGCGCCTGCACTAGTCTCTCGGCATGCAGCTTGAAAAGGCACCCATCGAGAGTTATCTATAACAATGACTTTTGAATTGATTCATGAAGCCCTTCACTACTGTAGATACTGAATGCTTTATATTGGTTGTGGAATCAAAGAAAAAGGAGCAAAAAGAGAACAAACTTTTAAGTCTACTAGCAACAGCACAGATTCACAACTAAGGTTCTAAATCTGCTTTTCAGAAATAAGGGGAGCCACTACCTTTAGTTGATATCAGCAGAGAATAAGATGGATACAAGTGATACGCTAGCTGACTGGTTCGCTGGCTCACCCATTAGAGCGTCTAAAATCAAGGAGATAAAGGCATTATTTGGTTCAGTGTCCAAATAGCAATGCATTCTTAGATCCATTGTAAATCATGCTATTGGACGAATATCATCTGAACTAATACATTTGCAATCATGCTGCTTTCATGAAGTTGTAGTAAACCATAAAATGAATAACATAACCGGGTCAGATTTCCGTGTAGAATCATCAATAGCATCTGAACGTTTGTACTAATCCTGATAAGATTACTCCAACTGTCAAAGCTGCCATAGTGTCTGAATAATTTTCATGAAGGAGGCCGTATTAGCTGGAGATTTGCTAGGCCCTGTAGCAATTATTTGAGAAGCTCATTCCTTCATTGTAAGAGTTCTGGACTCTACTCACTGCACAGTGTAACGTTTTTCACCTAGAACCTTAATTTATTCACTTTTTCAAATCTTTATTAATTCTTTTTTTAAAATGAAAAATAAATTTCTTTTGAGAAAAACTTAAGATAATTGTGACGGAAATCCCTGCTTTCCTCCCACCTTTATTATATAAGAAACCTCAGGTACATTAACCATGTCCACACATGATACGATTACTCGAGATTAGTATGCGATTTAGGTGACCTGAGGATCAGATCCGGACAAGTACTCGGTATCAATGGTTATCGGTAAAGTAAGATCATTGGAGGAATAAATATGACTTCTTTTTGCCTAGCCATTGCGGCTAGGCCATTCATTTGTGTATATATAGAGTAGCTATCCCCATCTACAGGTGCTCTTCACCTGTAGATTCTAAGTTAAATACAATTGCTGGTCTATAAACACCCTTTTGGTCACAATAATCAATTAAAATTTATAAAAAATTAATCAATTTACTTTTAATAATTTTTGTTAAAATATTATAAAAAATTGAAGACAAAAATTATAAAATTCCAAAATTCTTATTTATTTTGTGTGGGAAAAGCATTATACGATGAAAATTTTGAAATTGTAAAACCTTAAGTATTTTGTAACGATACTGTACTGGAGGCAGCGGCTGCCTAAGGTTTCGTCTGGTTGGTAGTTGTGGGTTAAGGCTTTATCACTGGTCTTCACTTGGAAGTGAAGTCGTTACTAGATCAAGTAGAATGTAGGTAAACTAATTGATAACTAAGTTGAGCACGAAGCTCCTAAACTATGAAACTACTCTGACTATATAATGAACGATAAAGGGAGCCCCTAGGAGCTTTCTGGCTCCTAGGGCTCCTTATCACGTGATTCCTGATGGTGCGTGCGCATACGATCTTCAGGTGACCAAGATCACATACTAATTCGATGAAATCTGATCGTGTTTGCACAAGGCCTAAGCTCTCCTAATTAATCAGTTTGCTACCATCGTAACACCATCAATCCTAATTGTGAATCGTGACATTAATCAAATTGATTGAAATTTGAAAATATTATAATTAACATTTATAAGATTATAAAGTATGTTCTTTTTTTCATTTTTTAATGTTTTTTTAAAAAAATTATAAATATGTCACGATTCATTAATTCACGTGACCTTGAGGACCTTTTGGACCTTAGGGTCCCAGAGGTCCTCAAAAGATGATATAGGGTATATAAACATTCATTTAGTCTCGTAGTTAAGGAGCTTCGTGCTCAACTTAGTTATCAATTAGTTTACCTACATTCTACTTGATCTAGTAACGACTTCACTTCCAAGTGAAGACCAGTGATAAAGCCTTAACCCACAACTACCAACCGACGAACCTTAGGCAGCCGCTGCCTTTAGTACAGTATCGTTACAATTAAATATTGAAGAAATTATTCAATATTGAATTTTATGTAAAAAAAAAAAAATGACTTTTGCAGGGATTTTGTCACAAAACGTCACGGTGTGCGGCGAGTAAAGTCCAGAACTCTTAGAATAGAATAAATCAAGGAATAATACTATCATTAGGACTAAAAGTACTTTACACTGTCAACATTATCAAATTGAAACCAACACATAGATACTCTTAAAGTCATCTACAGGTCTGATGACAACACAGCTTGGAACACAGCCTTGAAAACTGCTAAGACTTTAGCTATATGTACTACAAAGATGTACAGGAACCCTTCCATGACCAGACAAGATATATGATGAGGTTTTCTCATGAATGAGTAGACCCTCACTTCACTAGATCTCAGTGCAAAATCAACTCTGTTCTTTTCCTTGGCTCAATATACCTGGATGAATCTCTCCATACAATCCACAAGTTTTGTCTGAATAAGAGACAGTCTGAACAAGGCCAGGAACCTAATTTTTCTGAGAGATCAAATGATTCAGCAAAGAAATGTTACTATTTTCTCGTGGAAGGAAGATTGTGAATAATTGTATCAAAAGAACAAAAAATCTATTTTGCCTTTCCACCTTGGTGCAGACGACAAAATGGAAAGGGGAAATTCTGATATAATAATCCTTGGAAAAAATCCTATCCAGATTCTGTGGATTTCAGTCATCCTTTTCACAGGTGAAATGATGGTTTTGCCTCACGAATTTTGCCTTCCGCATGGGAAAGAAGAGTAAAATGTAAAAGGAAATTTCCTGGAATAACTAAGGGAAGAATAATAAAGTAAAAGAGTTCTAAGAATGCAAAAAGGTCTGTTTTGACCCTGCAAATCATGTATGAACTCAAAAGGGTGTCAGAGTTTAGAATAGAGAAGAGTCCATAAAGATGATGATTTGATCTCCTCTTCACCAACTATCTGGTACTCATTTGAAACTCCCAACCCAAACTCAACTCCATCTACCTCTTTGGTTGAAATTTTGACCGTCTCACATTAGTCATCCTGGAAACTCCAGATGCAAAATTATTGAGGATCGAAGGAGTGGAAGAGTATGAAGGGGAAGAAGACGATGAAAGATAGTAATATTACTTTACTTGCAGTCAGTATAGCATTCATATTTCAATTGGAATATTAATACTCAAGATTCGAGAACTCACCGCAGTCCTCTTGCTTATCAATTGGCACATTCCGAATCTTTTCATTCCATACATTCCATATATAAAATAATCAAAGCATCGAAAATAAGATACCTAAATTCGCTTGGTCACTATGGCTTTTGAAGCCAGCCTTGTTCCACTCCAGTCAAAACTCACATCGAGTACAGCAGCGCTATCTAGTGCCGGACTCTGTACTTCCGATCTACAGCATTGATGGATGAAATTTCAAAAGCCTGTTGCTTACTCCCTGCGCCCTCCCTCATTCATTCCATGAAATCGTAGAAGATTTCCAACATCTTGCGTCGGCCAGCGTGCTCATACTATCACCAACGAGTTCATATTCTTTTGATCTGTTTGGAATAAGAAACAGCCTAAGATGGTAAAAAAAATTTAAATGAGTGAAACAGATGGCAGAGGAAGGAGTGAATTTGGAAAAATGGAAGATATAAGAGAGGTCATGCAAACGATTCATCCATTACTGGTTGGTTATCAACTAAAGAATTGAAGGAATTGAAGGAATTGAAAGAGGAGAGAGGAGAAGGAAAATAAGATTAGATATAAACGATGATCCCACCAGTGATCCTTGCTGACAGATTTATTTTGCGATTGGTCAAAAGGCGAGAGGGGTATATGGAGCTGCCGAATGCACTATCCTCCGAGTGTACTAGTGCAGCGCTAAGCTAATTCTGTACAAGTCTATTGAAGGAACAAAATTCGAAAATATTATTTTTGAGCCCATCCAAACTCGACTATCATAAACAATCTTCTTTTTCTATTTGCCCCATTAAATAGAAATCCCTTTCAAGTCGATTTCTTTTTCAATCCGCAAAGATGTAAGTTCATATATTCAAATGTAAAATCTATCATTTCATCAATTCAAAACTAACTAACAATTGCAAAAGGCATTTCGTCCGTCGTGCAGCTCTCCGAGCTGCTTCATCTGCCTCTTTCGTTTCTAAACCTCGCACTATCAACACTCCCTCTCCATTCCTTCTCAGAGCTTCAAATGAAAGAATATCATCAGCAGTATTCAGAAGATTTGCAAGCGATGATGCACATGCCAGAGAAGAAGAGAATGTAGATGCACAAGAGGAAGGAACTGTTCAATCAACTATCAATTCCGCCACAGAGACCGTCTCAGAGTATGCTGCTGAGGCTAAGGATACCATCGCACAGGCAACTGGATTTGCATCCAACAATCTTGGCTTTGGAGGCAGAGACGGAGGGTTTGAACGTCCTCCAATTGCGCCTAACAATGGCATTTACATTGGCAACTTGTTATTTGACATTACCGAGGAAGATCTCAAGAAAGAATTTGAGCATTTCGGAACCATCACCGACGTCAGAGTCACCAGAGATGCTAGAGGATTGAGCAAAGGGTAAGCCATAAGATATTGCCACACTCATAGATCAGATCTAACCATCTCTTCAGTTTTGCCTATATTGACTTCGCAGATGTGCAGTCCGCCACCGCTGCCATTGAAGAGAAGAACCAAACCATCTTTGAAGGTCGCCGACTTATTGTCAACTACGTCAACCAGACACCAAAGATTAGAGACCAGAACCCACCTTCCAAGTGCCTTTTCATTGGAAATCTCGCCTTTGAGATGTCTGATGCTGATTTGAACAGCTTGTTCCGTGAGGTCAGAAACGTCATTGACGTCCGTGTTGCTATTGATAGACGCACTGGACAACCAAGAGGTTTTGCTCACGCAGACTTTGTTGACGTTGACAGCGCCATGAAGGCTCTTGAACAACTGCAAGGCAAGGAGGTCTTTAACCGAAGACTGAGAGTAGATTACAGTGTTGGCGAAAAGAATGCTTCAAGCGGTCGCGGCGAGCGTGGATTCGGTAACCGAGGCAATGACCGTGGTGACCGTGGAGACCGTGGAGGATACGGCGGTGGCCGTGGCGGATATGGTGGTGACCGTGGCGGATATGGTGGTGATCGTGGTGGCCGAGGAGGTTATGGCGGTAACCGCGGAGGAAATGCATCATTTTAATGAAGAGGCTGAAGCTTCGGGGGTTATATCGACTAAAGGACGATTCAATTAACGAACGATTGAATGAATACATACTTTGTATGATGGATTTGGGTAGGCGTTATTCATCTATTAGAGGGGGATGGGAAGCCTCAAAAGTTGCTGAACGTCCTCTGCGGCTCTGCTTTTATGGACGCTTCCTCTTCTTTCATCTTGTATTAAAAACCCCTCAGAAGCTTAGTCGGTTGTAATATAGAAGGCTTTGATCTGATCAGCTATCACAACTTGAAGATCCAGATTCACGGCAAGAAGAACACACAGAAACTCCTCTCACTGCATGATACAAGAGCGTGAACATCTTTCTTTTCCAAAATGTGCAATGTTACCTCGGTTGATAGACTGCAAAGATAAAGTTAATAAATCTCTTTCGAGCTTATCGAACTTTCATATCTTCGTGCCTCGTGTTTTGAAGATTAATATTTGTGAAAAACCAAACATAAAAACATGTGACTCGGCTTATGTAAACCGCTTTTCGGCATCGGTGTCGTTCAGCCGAGGTGCTCCGATTGAATTTCTAATGAATGGCACGGCGACCCCACAGTTTCCACCCATCCACGTTCCCATGTTATTCTCCTGCATCCACTTAAACAACTCGGTCACTGAAACTTATCAGTAACGACAACAATTAAACTTCTATCATAATCACCAAAAAACAATTCATTCCTTCTTGTACAATATCAATATCAATATATTTGAGTCTAATCATATTTCTAGCAGGAGTTGTCTTTGAATATCAGATCAAACTTTTAGACTACCATCGATCACCTTGTAAGTGACAACGCAAACGTCGAAGGACGAACACATCATTGGGAGCTACAGAAGATACAAAATCAACTTTCATCAGTCATGTCGTTCATGGGTGGCGCAGAATGCTCAACGGCAGGAAATCCCCTTAGTCAATTTACAAAACATGTACAAGATGACAAGAGTTTGCAAAGAGACAGGCTGGTTGGTAGAGCGCCTGGAGGCGGTATGCAGGGCATGCGCTCAGGGATGGACATGAACGGCAGTCAAGATCATGTAGGTAGTCTGGGACAGCACACCTCAGTCATACAAGCTGTGTATCTCCGTGACAGTACTGACTAATACTAAATTGGCAGATGCTGAACGATTTCATGCAACAAAACGGCCAGCTCCCACCAGAAGCTTTTGCTATGCAACATGATCTTCACCAGAATGCGCACATGATAAATGGATCTCACTCTCCAGGTGTTGGCGGGTGGGCTCAGGAGTTTAACCCTGGGATGCCAGGAATGTCAGAACAGGCAAGGATGGAGGCAGCGTTTCAAGCACCTAAAGGTACAGCTTTCAGTCCTGCGGATTTCGCTAGATTTCAACAGATGGGGCAATCAAGCTCCGCGCGCTCTGCCAGTCCTATGACGCAGAATATGACGAATGGTTATTCCTATCAAGGCCCTCAAATGGGAATGGGCATGGGCATGGGAATGATGGGAATGAACAGAATGGGCATGGGCATGAACATGATGAACCAACCACAGTATCAACAGCCCGCGCAGAACTTACAACAGGATAAAGGGAAAGGAAAGATGGTTGAGCTCGATGATCAGAATTGGGAAGAGCAATTCAAGCAAATTGACTTGCAGGGAAAGGAGCTCGAAGAAAGTTTGGCGGCGGAAGGAGAATTAAATGAAATGGATAGGTCAGTCCTTGAATCCGAAACCAATGAATTTGGGGATTTTGAATCTATTTGGAAGGGCATACAAGCTGAAAACGCTGCTGCTAGGGAAATGGCTGGCGAAGCAAGCCTTAACGATATGAACATAGGCGAATTTGGTCAATGGGATGGATTTGATGCTGTAGGAATACATCAGTCACCATTCCGCGATCCACAACTCGGAGATTATATGTTTGAAAAGGAGAATATTTTTCAAGATATCACTAATCCATTTGACGAGGGTGTTCGGATAATGCATGAGGGAGGTAACCTGTCTCTTGCTGCATTAGCATTTGAGGCTGCAGTACAGAAAGATCCCCAGCATACCGATGCATGGGTTCTCTTAGGTTTAGCACAAGCGCAGAACGAAAAAGAAACACCCGCAATACGGGCGTTAGAACAAGCTATGAAAATAGATCCCACGAATCTTACAGCTCTCATGGGTCTGGCAGTCTCCTACACAAACGAAGGCTACGACAGTACCGCTTATCGTACACTTGAGCGTTGGCTCTCTGTCAAATACCCATCGATCATCCCACCAGGTTCTCTATCCTCGGAGAATGATATGGGTTTCACTGATCGGCATCAACTTCATGAAAAGGTTACAGACTTGTTCATTCGTGCCGCTCAGCTCTCACCCGATGGTGAACACATGGACCCAGATGTACAGGTCGGTCTCGGCGTACTCTTCTACGGCGCCGAAGAATACGATAAAGCAGTTGATTGTTTTACCGCTGCTCTCGCCTCAACCGAATCTGGAACGTCAAACCAAAGAGATCAAGTTCATCTCTTATGGAATCGTCTTGGTGCCACTCTCGCCAATTCTGGCCGTAGCGAAGAAGCCATCGCTGCATATGAAAAAGCTCTTACGCTTCGGACCAATTTTGTGCGAGCTCGTTACAATCTTGGTGTTTCTTGTATCAATATCGGATGTTACGATGAAGCTGCCTCTCACCTTTTAGGTGCATTAGCAATGCATAAAATTGTGGAAAATGAGGGCAGAGAAAAAGCAAGAGATGTGCTCGGTGGTGGTAATGTCAGTGAAGCGGATCTCGACAGAATGATTTCGCAGAATCAAAGCACGAATTTATATGATACATTGAGAAGGGTGTTTAGTCAAATGGGAAGGAGAGATTTGGCGGAACGGGTGGTGGCGGGTATGGATGTTGAAAGCTTTAGGGGTGAGTTTGACTTTTGATTGAAAAGCAGACAGTGATGGATTGAAGGGTGGATGTGAGGACATATGAGCGAATCAGTAGCGATCTACTTTAAATGAAAAATATGGGTCAGTATGTAGCCGACCTACACTGACTATGGAATGCATATGTGGACATCAAGAGAGAATGTATCGAAATAATCTTTAGTTTGTCTGTCAAATTTACGGGATTTGGAATGAATAATAACTTTAAGGGGTCGGCTCGGTTAGGCTATGCTGTACACATTATTATAAATGCATAGAAATTGAACAACATTCATAGTCTATTCCTATTTATGTGAAGCATAATTGGCTTGCATAGGATTGTGACGCTTTGTATACAAATAGGTTTTTATCATCTAGTAAGACTTACTATTATCGTCCAGCACCAAATATCACCCAGCACCAAATGTGATTAGGCAATATTATTAGCGAGATATCCAAGGGGAAAAGATATTACTGATTTAGATATCATGATGTAGGAAATTTGGAGGAAATTTGTAGGAAATGGTGAAGGATTTATATGGGATAGTATAGAATAGTTGGCAGAGAGATTGTTCGGAATTGAGAATATGTGGGATTTTTGATGGGTTTGAGGGGGTTTTAGTTTTATGTTATTGCCGTTGTTGTTGTAGTAGATGTTGTAGATTTTTGGTTAATTTTCGGATTTGTGGTTGGTTTGTGTTGGATGGTGTGGGATGGGATAGCACACTGCATTACTTTTTGGGATTTAGATACCATGTTATCTTCTTTATGAAATATTTATTCATTATTCATGTATCACGATAGATTTCTGATATCTTTTTCTTGAGCTTGAGTTTGAGCTTAACCCTCAGCTTTAGCCCTTAAATCCGAGCCTGGAACTCGGGCTGGGACTATAGTAAACCTTTCCGTATCTCCTGCATACTGATAGCCAATATGATTCCCAAGACGATTACCCCTCGGTCGTAAATCTTCATACTCGATACTAAAACCATGCTGGATGGTAATCCCGTGCTCACTACTCTGACTCTGATTCTGTTTCTCCGCTCCAGTTCCGGTTTCGGTTCCGGTTCCACGCCCTAATGAACTACTTCTTCTCGTCAGAGGCCATGGATGGAATAGTTGGCTTAGATCCCCATTTTCATTTCCATAAGGGTGTGCGTATGCGTGTCCCTGACCGCGTTCTGCGAATGGAAATTTGGAACAGACCGGACTAGGTGTTTGGATATATATTCTCGGTTTTCCTTTCACGGATCTCGGGGCTTGGATTTCTGGTACTGATCGCATGGTTGTCTCAAGAGGTGTTTCATTTTCATCGTGAGATATTTCGTGAGAGATGGATGGATTTCTCGTTCTAGAGCTTGATTTGCTGGCTGAAATTACACCCCAGTTACCACTCGCGATACCTGTTCCACTGTAGCGAGTTGTCGAGGGCCAGAGATGCGGACGTGTAATGGTTAGGTAAAGAGCGCGATAGGCGGGTAGACAGGAGGCGATTAGATAGACGCCACCTTCTGCGATGGAGTAGGCGCAGAGTTCGACGGCGGTCCAGGTTATGTCTGAGGCGGGTTGCATGCGCCAGAATGCAGCGAAGCGGAGGATGGATGTTATGAGGCCTCTGTGATTTATTAGCATGTGCTTCTGCCTTTAGTGACGCTCTGAGGAGATCATCTAGAGTACGGTGTAGATCTCTCGATGAATGAAAGAAGAAGTACAGGGCAAGGGAATCCCCAAAAAAAGAAAACCTACAAACTCCCTGCCAAAAACGTAATTCCCACCCCCGCCTTATCTCTCCACCCCATCATAGTCCCCATAATCATCGGGACGGGCAGTGCCAACATCGCCACATCGGTCAGAATATTCGGTAAGCTCGCCCATCTCCAATAAGCATTTTGATCGAAACATTTCCCCTTTTTCTGTTTATCCCATAAATGTTCTAGGGGTATGCATTGCGTTACATTCGCAATGATATTCGCAAGTGCTGTTGCGAGAAGGATGGCAGCTATGAGATAGGAAGCACGACGTTGCCATTTGATGACAAAGATGCGCAGGAAGAGAGAGAGCATGGTTAGCTTGGGGAGGGTGATGGAGAGGATGTAGAGGATTGCAAATGTGATTTCCATTTTGAGGAAGGTGGGGAGGGCAGTTGCATGTAGGGTTAGAACGTAAGGGAGATGATGGCCCGCGTAGACGTATTTGATAGCAGCTATGAAATAATGGTGAGCTTTTGATGTAAACTAGAATTGGGCCGGAAAATGAATATACCTAAAGAAATAGCATTCATAGCCAAATTAGATCCTAGACCTAACATTGTAAACCATTCTTCCCGGCGAAATCTCCATTTGACACTCTTTCTCTGACTAATATAACTCGCCACAAAACTCAAGGCTACGAAAATGATTTCGGCCGTAATAAAGACAGATGCTACAGCTATCAATCTATCACCTGAGAACTGATCCAGATATCCTGCAGGATAGATCTGAGAATGAAAAGAACTCATGATCCATGAAAAAGACCAATATTTAAATATCTATCTATCCGAGTACTTGTCGGAAGAAAATGATGGATTCAAGTCAACATATGAATGTGACCCAAATATTACTTTCCCAATATCATATACCATTTAGTATGTAACACAAAATCAAAAAGCCAAAAGTATGCCCATACCACCTGAAAGTCCATGAAAGAGGGGCAGAAATGGCACATACAAGGGCCGCACATGTATATTCCAGCACGCAGAGCATCAACTCATTCTCCAACCAAAGAACCCCCTAAAGACTAGTCAGATTCTCAGGGGAACGAAGAAGATGGTGTGAAGATGTCATCCTGCGCCACAACACCACATAGCATCTAGTTCTACCTCCTTATGTACTGGCCCCTCAAACCCTGGATAAAATGCACAAAGTCGCTGAAGAAAGATACAGGTGTGCGCTTCACACCTTGGGCTTTTCGTGTTCTCTGCCACGTTCCGGCATCGCAGGAAGCATATTCTGGATTCAGTCCCTGTGGTGTTACCTCACGGCGACCCCGTGCATATCGTTTGAGAAGGAAAATACTATTTTGGTACACCTGCCGAAGCGAGGTTGTATTGGCGAGCACCACTTTTTATCATACTTCGTCCAATTGAAGTTGCTGGGTATGGTTATTTCTGACTACAAATTAACAGTTGCCTCATGGAGTAGAGAGCAGTTCGTAATGTTATCTTTTGCGTGTTTCGAGAAATTTTAGAAATTATTCCATCTCTATTTGTGCGTCTTATTTTTCGAAAGGTATGTGAAATGTGTGCGTTGGTACCGCTGTTGATTGGTTATGTGGCCTTTAAAATATTGGGAGGGGGAATATCACACTTCTTCAATTATACACACATAATAAAGAATTGCGAATTTTGAAATCTGCTAAATATCATACAATTCCCGTCCACACTGAGTACCATTCTTGTAATCCTAATAAAATTACAAGAAGGGAATCATAAATCGCTGAAGCACTAGGTTAATCAATGATCAAGAACAAGCGATCCCCCACAGTTCCTGTAAAATTGCTGCAAGCTATTATTATGTAAGGTTATTACAATTTTAGCGATGAGAATGTGTGAGGTATACCTTAGTAACTAACATCTTACTTCTCAACCTCCCAAACCTGTCGATTATCCAGAGCCCTACACAATATTAGAAAACGAAAATGTATTGGACATGTAAAAAATACCATGATATTCCTCAATGCACCGATCAACTGCAGCCTCATCTTCCCAGTGGAAGTAACGGATGTTGCTATGCCGTTGCGGAGATCCACTAAGCATTCCCTCAACCCTGTGTCCAGTAGGAGAATGTACAATCATATCCAGGATCGCCTCTTCAACCAAAGAGTAATCTGGTGAGTGAAATTTGATTATGCATAGGACATCCGGGGTTTGGTTATGTTCCATCTGTCGTTTTGTTGCGTTTGTGATTATGGTTATATCTTTATGGTATAAGAATCCACTCTGATGCCTCATTAAACAGTTCTTTGATAGAAGTGTATCCTGGCATTTGTGATAGGACTCCTTTGCCGTCGAGTCACTATGACTTTGATCCTCGATGGTAGGAACGCGAGAAGTTCCTGGTTCTTGACTGAAAGGGGAAACTGAACGTGTTCGATCGATCTTCTTGTTCTTATTATCCTCACAAAATTCGAATCTCCATGCCTCTAACTCTTTCATTTTTATTGCTACATCCATCAATCCGGTCCCTCGAATGTCTAAACGCCTCGATCCATTCCCTCGAATGCCTATACCACTGAATGCGTCCTCTTGACGGTCCCAACGACGTGTATTTTCCTTTCTGAATGGATTGGAACTTCCACGATGGCGCGGGTACGGCCCTTTTTTCTTTAACTTCCTATTCCTTGAAGGGACCTTTTGACGAAACTGGAGCGCTGAAAATGGTGTTCTCATCATTTTCCTTTCCTCCAAAGGATCCTCAGCAAGACTAAAATAGCGAGAAGAAGCACACTTGAACCGGACAATCATTCTAGACGGGGCCATTGGAAAATCCCCGAGGTACACTAATTCAGACTCTTCATCCTTCGAGCTCTTAGAATTCATGTCGATATGCTCAATCTCTATCTTTTTTTGTGGTATCGTTCCTCCTCGTTATCGTAATGGGATGCCTCGGTCACTGTTCGCTTTCTAGATTGTTGAGAGTTATTTGCCGCGGAATTTTTTGTGAAAGCTTCAGAGTTTGTCCAAGTTTGCGCTATGTTCTGGGTTACACGCAATGCTTTAGGGGCCCACAATCGACTTGTGTTGTCGACCAGAGGAAGAGGTTCAAGAGTCCTAAATTGATTTCCGATACTCTTAGAATTGACAGGCGATGATCTAGGCGTCTTAGTTGGGAAGTAATTATTAGAATCAAAGGGTGAAGCGCTATATGCTAAACTTCCAAAGGAATTATTCGAGGTAGCAGGGGACGAGTCAGACGTTGGAGCTGCGGAGGAACGGCTTTTGGGTGGCGTATCTGTGAAGGGACTGCTCTGCTGAGACGTCAAATGTGCAGAGATGGCACCACGCGGAATACGTAGCTCGTTAAATTCGTCCGTTGGCGATGGTTCGACGCCTTCAGCCACAGGCGGTGCTGAAAAGTTGGGCGGTTCTGGATGTGTACGGTCCCAGTAGAGGGGACGATGGCAACAGCAAGATGATCCTGAACCACAGATATGGCAAGCACTTGGTCTAGGCCCCATGGCGGTTGAGAGGGATTTTGGGATGTAGTAATACGTGCCTGTGTATAAATATTTCTTGTTCGCTGATTCCCCCCAAAAAAGTTGAGCAATATCAATGTATGGATCAAAATAAGTGCTATTGTTTAGAATAATGATTTTCCTGTATTGGAAAAAGAAAATAAAACCAAACGATTTAGATGTAGAAGAGGATATTTCGGCTATATAAGGAAGGAACCACTTGACTCTTAATGCCTTTTCAACGATCATGCAGTAAGGAGCCAACCATTAGCTTAGGAATATACTGCGTTTCTAGTCTATTAAAGGCATTCTAAATATGAACTCATGGAAAGAAAAACGAATTGGTAAACAATTAGCATCACCCACTTCCCCTAGGATATTTATAAGAATCAAACATTCAGGATAGTAGTGAGAATCAGGTCAATTCAGCCATCATGAAGTTGAATGTAATGTATTTGTATTCAGAGTGGGTATCGCCTGCTAGCCTATTTGCGTTTAACAAAGTACAGCTGCAACTGAGTATGAAACTAAAATTTATGCTAGTGTATTCTAGCCACTGACAGATCGTGCTACTCGAGAGATGCGAATATGATATCAAATTTCCCACTAGCAATCGTTTGATGAATATAAATCGCTAATTCGAATCACAACTGAAGCGCGAGATGTGCAAGATATACAAGGTATCCGAGGTCGATATATCTAATCGGATGATACCATCTTTAATGCTTTGCGGCTAGCATCAGCATGATTACTCTCTATCGCTCTTTCCTCGCCATCCTCTGGTTGGAGTTTCTCCTTTAGATTGAGCGCTCGACAAACTAGGCTTGACCCTAATCTTTCCACCCCATTTCTCGGACCAATCCAGGTTGACAATAGCTCCATCAGCTTCTTGACTATCCTGCAGTTCAACGAAGCAGAAATGGCTATTGCCCTCTCTTGGCTCTCTTGGAGAGCATAGCTTGCTGACCCACTTGACATTGTACTCGCTAAAGAGCTCTCTGATCTCTGCCTCGGTAGCAGATTCATCTCCGAAATCTGGCAAACCACCAACATAGATTCTTTGCTTCTCAACGACTTTGCCTGATACCCCTCCAGATGCACGACTGACTTTGAGGCCCCACTCATTGCCATCAAACATCTTAACTGCGTCGTTGACCTGGGTGTTGTTGGCAAGATCAACGAAACAGTAATAGTGGTTACCACCTTCCTCAACCTTTGAAGGGTGTGGAGAGATCAACTTGCTAACAACTTCAACATCAAATCCTTCGAAGATCTCTCGAATCTTACGGTTTGCTGTTTCTTGATCATCAATTCTTGGCAATCCTCCAACATAAAGTCTTTTACCATCTTGAGAAGAAGTGTCTACTTGACGTGGTTGAGAAGTCTCGGAGCTCTTCCAACGGTCATTTGTGTGAAGAGGAGTCTCTGAGGATGATGCCTGTGGACGAGCGCTGCCTGCATTTTGTCAGTGGGAGTTTTACCGACCTGCCGCATGAATCTGATGACAGATAAGTTCTAGTTCTTGTAGATTCACTCACGGTCTGATCTTACACCAGGCTTGACTCTGAGTGTGCGATTCTTGAACTCTTGACCGTCATAACGATTCAAAGCCTCATCAGCCATATCCTTGGTGGTGAAAGTAACGAAGCAGTAGCCGGGGTTGCGCTTTGTCATGGGATCGACGGACATATGGACAGTTCGAGATTCACGTGGGGCATCCTGAAAAATGGTTTCAATATCCTCAGCGGTGGTATCATAACTTAGATTGCCAACGTAGATGCGTCGACCTTCTTCAATGGCCTTGTCCGACTCTGTGAGTTGTGAAGATTTTCTTGGCGAGTCACCTGCCTCGTTTCGAGAAAATCTCCCCTGGCCCTGGTTTGGTCGATCGCCACCATCTCTACCACCAGTTTGTCCACCTCCACGATTTCTTGAAGAAGACCAAGGAGAAACTCTCTCTTCGCCATTTGGACTTTGAGGAGGGTCTTGCTTAACACGCCAGTTGTTGGAGAACATATTGAAGTTTTGGGATGTGGAATCTGGGTATTGAAATGATTGAATTTGAGTCCAAATTTAATACGTTAAAGTCCGGATTAAAGAGAGAAATACTCCACGGTATATGAATATCAGAAATATCAAAAAATTGGAGTTGAAGTTGAAGATTTGTTTTTGATTGAATTTTCAAGTTGAAACAAAATTTACAAAATTTTCCGAGCAAACAACCTAGAAAAGGAAGTACAGCACGTGATTGAAATTTTCGTTTATCGAGACCGCCCGGCAGTAATTATTTTTTTCGATAATCTTTATCGCACCCCGCCATGATAATTGCATTGCATCGCATTAAACAGACCATTAGTACTTATAGTTGAAGAGTTAAAAATGGCCACAAATACTACCAAGCCCATACATAGTCTTGTCATTGATGCAGGACCAATAATTAAGAATGATCCCTCAGCCTCTACGCTTCTTGGACAAGCAGAAAACCTCTACACAATTCCCCTCGTTATTGACGAAATCAAAGATGCCGTTACAAGAGCCAGATTCGAAACCACCCTGCTACCTTTCCTCAAACTAAGAGCGCCTCGTTCAGCTAGCATTAAAGTTATAACCGATTTCGCACGGAAAACGGGTGATTTGGAAGTACTTAGCAGACAGGATATCCATTTAATGGCACTAGCATATGAGCTTGAATGTGAACGGAATCATGGAGATTGGAGATTACGAAGTGTGCCAGGACAGAAGAGATTAAATGGAGCTCCCCCTGCATCATTAACAGAAGAGAAACCGGCCGATACCACAGAGGCGCAAGAAGCATCCATGGATGCTGCAGCGCAACCAAAAATTGAAACTAGAGGCGCATGGGGAACATCAATACCTCAAGCAGCAGAAGAATCCAGCATCGAGACTCAATCTATTGAGGAAGCATTAGAAGCCGCCCACATATCCACCATCGAGGAGCCGGAAAGCATAGACAAACCAGCAGAAGCATCAGTCACAGGAGAACAGGCCGAAGAACCAACTTCCACAACAGAGCCCGAAACAACTCGCGAAACTGCGCATGAATCAACGAATATAGAAGAAGTTCCCGCGTCCGAATCCGACGCTGAAGACGACGGCGAAGGATGGATCACGCCTTCCAACCTCAAAAAGCACCAACAAAAAGACAACAACGGCACCTTCGAGCCCCAGGAAGAACAAAAAACAATCCAAGTAGCCACCATCACCAGCGATTACGCCATGCAAAACGTCATGCTACGTATGAACCTCAACTTACTCTCACCCTCTCTCCAACGCATTCGTCAACTCAAAACCTGGGTCTTGCGATGCCACGCCTGTTTTGGCATCACCAGAGATATGACGAAGCAATTCTGCGGACGCTGCGGAAAACCCACTTTACTCCGAACATCCTGCTCCACCGACAAAGATGGAAATGTCAAGGTGCATCTCAAGAAGAATATGCAATGGAACAACAGAGGAAATGTATACAGTGTGCCCAAACCGGTTGCCGGGACAGCGAATGGAAAGAATATTAAGGGTGGTGGAAAGGGAGGGTGGGGTAATGATTTGATATTGGCTGAAGATCAAAAGGAGTATGTGAGAGAAATGGCTACTTCTAGGAGAAAGAAGGACAAGGATCTCATGGATGAAGATTATCTACCCAGTATTCTGACTGGAGACCGTGGGCGGGCAGGCGGTAGACCAAAAGTTGGAGCGGGCAAAAATGTTAATTCCAAAAAGCGACATTAGAATAGAAAGAGTAACCTCAAAAATAGAACTAAAGTACTTGTACTTTTGTAAACACTGAGCTTGCTTTTGAAATTGTGATATTCCTCAATTCGCCTGGAGATAAAGAATCTGCGTATGAAGCAGCAAAGAAGTGCTTGCAAGTAATTGCGATTCCTCCTTCCCTACAAGCAAAAGCCGAATTTTCTTTTCCCATCTTTCACGAATTGTAATACACTAAAACCCGATAGATGTAAGAATCCCTCGTCCAGAACGCCAGTATACTCCGCACATTCCATTCAGCCTGCTAGCCTGATGCTTTTCATCAGCTAAATATTCAACTTTTCCTTTCTACACATTTGATGATGCAAAACATTGCGCATTGCCCACACATCTATCTTCCATTTCCTAACCCTACTAGTCGAAGAGCCAATCCGTTTTCTTATCCATGGAGATATTTATTGGCCCAAAACCTTGAGATCCTCTATTTGCGCACATGTGTTAGCAATCACTCAATTTATTTCAGATCGCCCTTCCAAATCCACACATTTCCCCTTCATCCAGTCCCATCTCCCATTTTCCATCTCGCATCTTTCACTTCCCTCCCCCAAGAGAAAAACAAAACCAAGAACAAAGAAAAAAACAACTCACTCTGCTGCACAAGCAACAAACCATATCTCTTCTTCAACGTAACTCTATGTCTAGAATATTTATCATCCGGCGAAAATCTGGCTGGATGCGCACTCTTGGTCACCTCACCACCGATGACTTTCTTAAGGGTATAGACGCGCTTTCCCGCTGGGTCGAGGGTGTACATGAGATGCATTTTGACGGTGTTGGGATGAAAAGTTCACGATGTGGGCGGGTGAAAATCGAGGAGTCGGGGATTCGACGGAAGGATTTCTGGTTTGGTGATTATGTTAGCGCATTCATTGAAATACTCAATTGCATAGCGGAGAACAATTGAAAACGATTGAAGGAATTGGAAAGTATACATACGGGTTGAGACTTAAAGTGGTGTAGGTTGTCGTTCGTTGAAGGTTAAAGGTCTGAAGCTTCTGTGGATAAATTTCTTGACGAACTTTTTTTGGGTAGGGATTAATTGATTGATATGTGGGTAGGTTTAGCCAGGTCAGAGCACGTGACGTGTATGGTCTAATGCGCGTCTATTGTCGAGCATTAAAACACGGGCTAAGAAGCTGTATTATGTGACCGTAATTCAGTGAGTAAACATTTGGCAAGCATTGGTTTATTTTAAAATTTCATGCATTGTTCATCTGTGATTTAGACTAGGCTACTTCGATCATCAAAAAGTTGCTTCAAGGCACACATCACGCCGTTGCCTCGAACAACTTAACCTGATAACTATTGTAAGAGCTTCCAGGTAGTTGGAGAACGAAGCAGTCTCCAAAAGATAACTCACCAGCCACCACTGCTTTTTGCCCTTTATTGCAATACCTGTTAAGTGTTGCAGTCTCGCTACTCAATGATAATAATTTCTCCGTGACAGAAAACCAACTATGCCACGAATATGAATAGGTCTCAAGGACAACGCTGGGCTGGATGCGCTGTAGCCAGCACACATTGAAAACGCAAACTAAATATGACCTGAAGACAGCTTCCGCCATATTGGCAATTTCTACAATGCGGAGAAAACGAAAAGCTAAATATATAATTAGTAGATGTTCTTACGGGAATCATTCCGTTATCACTCACGTTGTTCGTTGCAGCAATCGCGATGCTGTCTTCGAAAGGATGCCAGCTCATATGTAAGATCTTTTTGTTGAAGTCGATTTGATCTGCATCTGTTTCCTTCTTCATCCTTCCACCTTGACCACCAACACCTGCAGCTGGACTACCTGCCCTCGAGTTGCCCTTTTTGCCGTTTGCGGCGGTCGGACTACCAGTTGGGTTAATTGGTGTTGGAACACCAACTTTCTTAGCCTTGAAAGCTGATTTATCAGCTTGCAGGACTACCTCCACTTCCTTGTCGGGATCTGATGGGTAGATCATGAAGTTGTTGTTATAACTTCCGGTCATGACATTCTTTGCATCGCCAGAGAAAACCACCTCGAACTTATCAAAGATACTGTCATTCTCATAAGTGTCACAAAGGCGTGGTCGAAGGTGCTCGTGGATCGGAATCGTCTTGACAGGTTGCCTCTCCATGTTAACATCCCAGATTTTAACAGTAAGATAATCACGTGAAAGAATGTATCGACCATCATGAGAGAATCGAACATCTGAAATGGAAGAAATAATTTCTGAGAAGAATGATCGAGCAGAGGGGTCTTCTTCCTGTTCGAATTCTAAAAATGGGTATAAGTTAGCCGAATTTTAAAACCGACGACATGGCAAACTTACGCTTTGCGTGCTGATCACAAAGGGCACTCTCTCTCATATCTGCAAGCTTGATTGTGCCTTTTGAGCTGGCATACATGAACCAGTTACAACTTTGTGGGTGGAACTCCGCAGCTGTGATGACTTCGGTAAGCTCCTCCATGTTGGCGGGCTTGATGTCTACGATATTGAAGCTTTGATCTTGAATATTCAAGTTCCACAAGTTTATCCGCAAATCATCACTACTAATGAATGTCTCCCCATCGCTGTTCACCGAAATGCTGTTAATATGGTATGCATGTGCATTTGCATATGTTCGACGTGGTACTGCTGCAACAACAGTGTCATGATGAGTAAGGCGGGGTAATTTAAGGTCGTGGGAACTGTTGAAATGAACATTTGATATGGGTCGAATGCCACCACCGCCTCCGGCAGGATTTCCTGGAGTCAAATCATGAGAAAGGTTGTTTTCTGCAACAACTTTCAGTGACTTCTCAAACACTTTCCATAACTTAATAGTCTTATCGTTCGTTGAAAGTAGGTAATGGGAAGCGTTTTGTCGTCGGCACCACTTAATTTTGTTGATCTTTTCTTCTATCTCTAATGACTTGAGGTAATCGAACTCGGGCTCGTGAGATTGAAATTCTGTGTGAAATTTGTACTCGCATGTTTTTTTCTAGATAGTGTCAGTTCCGCGACTTGCACAATCTAGAGGAGGGCTTTGTTTCTGTACCGTCTCATTCCTTTCGAAAAGGACAACACGTCCACCTTTGTCTCCTGTGGCAAGATAATTTCCGGTGTGGTCGAATTCGACTGTTGATATGATGTCCGCTGTAATCCGCCATGTCAGTACTTATAGAATGAAGGTTGTCCTGCCCGCAGACAACGAAGAGCACTATCGATGCGTAGAAGTAGTGAGAGGAGAATACCTTCTGTTATATCTTCGACATCGCCTTTGTCACCAAAACATCTGATAACAATTTGTTAGCCTTGATTTCACGACAGTGACGCAATCAATCGAGAAAACACATTCCGAACCCCTCACCCAAGACTTCACAGGTGGCAGATGAATAAGACTATAGAGCAAGGGTATACTAACTGAGTGAACTTCCAAGTTGGAGAGTTCGGTTCCCCTTCTACCATCTTTTACGAGCTGTGCGGAGGAGATTATATCCTCTTCCTACTGCAGGCTATTTGGAAAGGCAGTCGGAATTGAAAGGATCTTATCTGTCGATCGCGTCAAAATGTGTAGGTTTGACTTGTGGTTGATCTGCGATGCAAGGAAGGCTGAGGTATCCTGTACGTACTGGGGTAGGTGGTGGTGGTGGAGGGTAAAAAAGGTTGTAATCAAGGTATTGTCGACGGTGTGCGTGCGGTAAGACTACCCAAGGTACTAGATAAAATCAAGTATAAAAAGTATACTTGATAGGTGTCAAGATAAAGTGAAGGCGACAAGATTGAATAACTCAAAGTCAATCTTGTTGTTGTGAGAAGATTGTTTGTTGGGTCGGAGAGTGGTTTGTAAGGTTGTAGGCTGAGGTTGTACGTTTATTTATCGAATTCGTGGGGTTCCTTCGTTATGAGATGCACAATCTTGAGGCCCGCTGCCGTCAAATCCAATCAAAATAAGGTTTTCACTCCGATGTGATGACAAAAATCAGGCTTTCAAAATGTAAAAATGGTTGGATTCATTCTACCCATAGGCCGTACAATGTGAAGGGATTAGGAAATATATTCTAAATTATAACGAGAAGTTTCTATCTTTTCCTCGATGAATTTCTTTGAGGGAAGTAGAGTTAAAAAGGAGGAAGTCCGTATGTTCGTATGTTCGTAGGTAGGTTCATATGTTCCAAATACCATTAAGAAATCTAACCAAGATGTCAATGATGACCCAAATGCGGCACCCCAAAGTCTCTGAAAGAACCTTCCCTTATTAAGCAAAGTTCTATTTTGCTTATGTAATACTGCCATCATTTCTTTATATGGTTCGCCTCGCAAACCCCCGCGCCGTGTAGGGGAATAATCATATAGTACGCAGTATTCGTTATTCGATATCACATCTTGATTATAGTTACTGTACAAAAGAACGAAACAAAATACTATACTGCAATCCTCTCTTTACACCGATCGATTCAGGACCTCGTGATCATACACTTCCCCTCCAACACATACCTAGCCATGTCCCAATTCAGTGATCAATTGAACCGGCCACCTTTCTCGCTTCATAATTCTTAATAAACATTTCCTTTTCCTTCTCGGCCTCCGATTCATCCTCCGAACCTGTGCTTTCGTTCTCAGACCCCAACTCTGCTAAATCTTCCCCATTCTGTTCTGCTTCCTCGTCTCCTTCCTCTTCCACTTCCACTTCGATTCGTCCCCTCCCTTCTTCTACCACGTCTTCCCACGCATCATTCATCACCTTCGTAGTATCTTCCGTGGATATGTCTCCTGGGGCACCTACACCCGTAACATCTGGCGTAACATCGTTGTCAGGAGAGGTAGCTGTGTTCTTCGTTCGAGGCTGTGGTACAGAGACTGAGGTTTTAGGCTTTGAAGTCGATGGTCCCTTCATCATCCCGTATTGCTTCGCTCTTTTAGTTCCTGTTGGCAACTTGCCACCCTTCCTATATTTCTTTCTCTTCGACCTTGAATCTAGATGCCTCACTCCTTTTCCGCTCATTCCACTAATGATCCCCTTTTCTCTTAATTTCTCAATCTCTTCGTCAGTCAAGCGCATATCCGGTACTGGCACGTGTACTTTCTTTCCATCCTTTCCATCGACGAAATCTGGTATGCTTAATGCCACATCAAAAGCATTTTCGGGGACCACTTTGTTGCTGCGAATAGCAATCAACTTGGTTTTCATGATAGCTCGAATCTTAGCGAGCGTACCATTGTTATAGTATCCATCATGATTGTTATCGTACGCCTTAGCCATAGGTGCGTTTTGTATAATAGGAACAAGAAGGGGATCCGTTATGTCGCAGATTTGCCACACTTTTCCGTCGAGCGTCAGAGAGGTGCCATTGAACATATGTGATGGGCAATCTCCTGTGCCGAAAACCTGATGTTTTGTGTATTGACTCCGCATGTCTTTCCATTGACCATCAGGAGCACGCTCATCTTCTTCGTACAGCTTGAAGAAAATAGTTTGATAGATACGACAGGATGGATCTTTGCGGGGATCAACTCCATATCTTATGAGGGCATCACGCCAAGGACCACTTCGAAATTGGTAGCCAACATATTGGAGCGCCGGTTTCATTAAGTAATACCCTGGCTCGTTGGCGAGACGATTTTGTAATGCTCGACGAGTCCAGATTGGGCGTTCACCCATTGCTTGTTGAAGCGCAGCCACAAAGTCCTTGAGAACAGGATCATCTGGAACTGCACGGAACGGCTTGGTTGGCACGTCCTCGTCTTCGTCGCAATGTACATACTGCATTTCGAGTTTTGGCATTTTCGAGCGGTTCACTATACTTGTTTCTCCTGTTTCAGCATCCACTTCGGTTGAAATTAAGGGATTTTGACGATATCCCCAATTGAAAGGTAACGGATGATGAGTGAATGTTGGTGGAGGAATAATCTCTTCATTTGGTTTCCAGCCTTTGTCAGTACCCAGCTTGAATTCCCGCATCTTACCCCCTAATAAGGATCAGCACGTTTCTAAAAGAGTTGAGTTTAGGAAACTTACAGTTGGCGGAAAATGCAGTTTCTTTGAAATGTGACATGAAGGGTGCTTGAGATGTGGATTGATGATAGTCGGAAAGTCCTGGATCTATTAGTACCATTACCATTACAAGAGAGGAATGTAAACACCTCTATAACGATGGCTCTGTTCGATTGCTCCTGCAGCCTCGACAGTGTATTTACCAACATTGTCTCGTAGCTTTCTGAGTATGCTGGCAGGTTTGTCATTCAAAGAGTGTGATTGAATATCGCCCAACGCATTTTGGCCAATGGTAGACTCAGACGCTGGACGTCCATCATCGGTATAAGGATCTTGAGACCCACGCTTTCGCTTTCTACCAGTACGCTTCGGTACAGTGATCTTGAGGAGAACATTATTGGTGATGCTATTGTAGGATAAAATCGGTTCGCATGTAGGATCTTTCGTTCGAAGGAAAAGCGGAATACACTCATCTTCAGTGCCCTCAAGAATCTGTCATAGTTATTAGTTTAAAATCATGCTCCTGTCACGAGATGAGTTTTATATGCCATGCGGATGGTAGAAAAATGACGGGTATGAAAAATACCTTCTACCTACCTTGTTCCATTGTGGTTGACGCCCAAAAGTTTTGATCCCATTTTCAAGGTTCTTCACGATCAATGGATGCTCAACAGCGACAATTTCCCTTGGGGGAATTGTGTATATTGGAGCAGATTGATCCTCCTCGTCATCGTAATCATAACCCCCATCTTCATCTTCGTTTTCCTCAATCATTCCGATGCCTTCTGCCTCTTCATCTCCCTCTTCGTCTTCGTCTTCTTCGATATCAATCTCTTCCTCAAACTCGGAATCTTCCATGTCCTCGTAATCCTCCATGGTTGCAAACAGGAAAGAAAGTAATCAGGATTGAAAGCGAGATAAGTGCTTTTTACTTTTGGGTGTCGAGCTGTTCTAACTAAATGCGCGCGACATACGCCACTTCCTTTGAATTTCCTCAAATTGTTTTGTTGTATGCGAATAGCCTCAACAAGCCAGTGGACCTGTAATCCTGGAATAGAAATTCTCGATACAGTCCTTAGTACTCTCCATCAAAACCGTCGGTTTGATAGGTGGTTTTTCTTCAAGCCAACGAGGTTCTAGTTTCCAATATGGAGAATAATTTAATTTGGCATGAGCCAATCAAAATCTTGATAAGTTTCCTATTCTCCCATTTGAAGATCTTTAGAGATTCCTTTATCCTTGGAAGTTGGATGGCTCGTACTCATGGTGCTTGCGTAGCAAATCTTTCACGTCACCAGAGGGGCGAACAGCAAGTGAAGAAACTCCCGAGCTTGGCTTTTTCTCCAAATTACGGAGTATCTAGGTACTCTAAGTGAAAAAAAGTCAATTTAAATTTAAATTTGAGTTAAATTTAAATATTTTGCCTAAAATATTAGGTCACATTAAAATCCACGCTAATTCCTCTACTGAGGGGACCACTTGCAATGTGTGTTGATAGATGTTGCTGTGTTGTTGATTTAGATCTTGAAATGAAACCTAAAATAATTGATCTCTACTTAGTCATCCCTGTTGGAGGAATTCTTATACTCGTACCTCATTTTCATAAATAATTCCAATTATTACCATCCGCCATTCATCTGTTGTCCATAGGAAAGTGCCAAAGCCGTTGGCCTTCTTCATCAGTTTGATAGCTTGTGCTTCGGCATAGAGGAGAACTATATTCACCGCCCGGATTAGCCTCAACCTACATTAAACAACCGCTGCCGCCGTACCATCGACCTTGTATATCCATCGTCATTGTTGGCTTATTTGTGTGTTTGAATTCATCCCTACCACCTCTCCTATCTTTTCTCGACTCGCACTGACTGCTATCGTTTTGGTAGAACTTGTTTACTCTTGCGCAACAAGTCAACCACTCAGGCTCGCCCCTCACGAACCCTTGGGACATAGAACTTCGACAGATGAAATAAACCCATTGGCGATTCCCGCTATCTTTTATGAAAACCTAACAACATCACACTATCAATTTACAACCAGGAGGTTCAAACTACAGCAGCAGGGAGCTACTGGCGGTCTCCAGCTGCGTATCAACAAATCGTTGCAATTGAATACATCACTGCACCTTGTGACATACAACGACAAACGAGAGTTGAGCCACTTTCATCGAATTATTTGCCGCATCCATACCCCAAGTCTTTCTAGCTCGTGAAAAGAGGATTGACACACATTCACCACGGCAAGCTTAAAGTGACGCGACCTGTCACTTTAAAAGTTAAAAATATTGGTGGACAAGAACAGGAGATTTCGCAGACCAGCAAGATACCAAAAGTATCAAAAGGAGGCACTTGAGTGTTTCACATCCTCCTTTAGAGTTGTTGTTCAAGATGAAGGGCTTCAGACAGAGGGTTGTAAGTCATTTTGATACTTAATACTCTCCATATGGCGTCCGTATCATTTTGAAAGTGATCATCTGCTAACCCCATCAGCATGAGCAGCTTTCGCGCACAAAAGATCCCAACAAATCAAAATCTAAGAAAGGGGATTCGAAAGATGGCACATCATCACCTTCGCAATCCAATTCGCGGGAAGCGGGACAATCGCCTGCCGTAACACCCTCATCTTCGAGTACAACACTTAATGACTTGCGAAATAAACCACTGCCGCCAAATGATGGTACTTCTTCAGCCGGTCCTACTGCGCAGCCACCTTTGAATACAGCTCTTAATACAATGTCTACTCCGGATCGATTCAATACTGGAGGAGGTTCACCCGGTCCTGCGACGCCGAATCGTCATGGAGCACTTCCTCCAAGCGTTGTTATCAGTCCAAGTGCACCAGTAAGTCACGACAGATGCCATCATTTTTTTACGTTGTACTAACATCTTCACTTTAGCATATCCCTCCCCCAGGTGCCGCAGAGACAATGCCCCACGATCTTGCCCCTCCCAAGGCCGGTGCGAAGTCGATGATGTTCGACCGGTTACAGACAACCCCAAAGGACGTCCCAGAAGGTATCCGAACACCGAAGCGACAGCACTCTTCGAGATTTGATATTTCCCCCCTCCGCGAATTAGAAAAACTACCAGGTTTCCACGAGGTACCACCCAATCGCCGCCAAGATCTCTTTATGCAAAAGATCGACCAATGTAATGTCATTTTTGATTTCAACGATGCAAGTGCGGACATGAAGTCCAAGGAAATCAAAAGGCTAGCTCTTCATGAACTTCTCGATTACGTCGCCAACAACAGACAAGTCATCACTGAGGCTATGTACCCAAAAGTGGTTGAAATGTTTAGCAAGAATCTCTTCCGCCCCATACCGCCTCCTATGAATCCTCAGGGCGAAGCATTCGACCCCGAGGAAGACGAACCGGTTCTGGAAGTCGCGTGGCCGCATATTCAGGTCGTATATGAATTCTTCTTGAGGTTTATTGAGAGTCAAGACTTCAATACCAATATTGCAAAGGCATACATAGATCACAGTTTTGTCTTACAGTTACTTGAGCTCTTTGATTCTGAAGACCCGCGTGAGCGAGACTTCCTAAAGACAACCCTTCATAGGATATATGGAAAGTTTCTCAACTTACGCTCATACATTAGAAGATCTATCAACAACGTATTTTTCCAGTTTGTCTATGAGACCGAACGTTTCAACGGCATTGCTGAGCTATTGGAGATACTTGGTTCAATCATCAATGGTTTTGCTCTACCACTGAAGGAGGAGCACAAATTGTTTTTGACAAGAGTTTTAATACCATTACATAAAGTCAAGAGTTTGAGCATGTATCATCCTCAACTCGCCTACTGCATTGTTCAATTTTTAGAAAAGGATGCAGCATTAACAGAAGAGGTATGTCAAGGACCATCGTCGTGGATCCAATTTACTTACGATTTTTTTCAGGTTGTTTTGGGCTTGCTCCGCTATTGGCCCAAGGTGAACAGCACAAAAGAAGTGATGTTTCTCAACGAAGTGGAAGATATATTTGAGGTAATGGACCCAGCGGAATTTGCTAAAGTTCAGGAGCCTCTTTTCCATCAACTGGCGAAATCAGTTGCCAGTCCTCATTTCCAAGTGGCCGAGCGTGCGTTATACTTCTGGAACAACGAGTACTTTTGTAATCTGGTCAGCGACAATGTTGAGATTATCTTACCAATTATGTTTGCACCTCTATACGAGAACTCCAAAGGACATTGGAATAGGTAAAGAATCCTCTGTCCACCCAAATTAAACTACCTCCAGCTAACCCATTCGAATTAGAACGATCCACGGCATGGTTTACAATGCAATGAAGCTATTCATGGAGATCAATCCTCAACTTTTTGATGATTGCTCCCATGATTACACTGAGCATCAGAACAATGCCGAGGCCAGAGAACAAGCTCGAGCAAACAAATGGAAAGCTCTGGCGGAACAAGCAGGAAGGTCAAAGACGAATGGAGTCGTCTTACCTACCGGGCCAGCTTCTCCATCGCGAACCAAAGGAACCCCTTTACGAGGAGATGATGTAGATCCAATGACAGAGGACAATCAGAAAAGGCTGGATTCGTTGAAACTTCAAGATGGAGATCGTCGAGAGCGGAGACCCACTCACGATCGACAAAACTCGGTAGGATCTTCCAGAAGCCAGCGATGATTGTTGTTACTACCAAACCGCTTTGTTTCTGTTTTCATGGTGCTTTCGTGGGGAGTTAGAGTTGTCATTTATCCTGATTAGAATTGTTGGCTCACGCATACCTTGTCTTCGTTATCTTCGTCCTCTCGTCTTCGTGCCGTTACCCTTCTCACCTTCAAGCATGTTTGTCTGACCCCTACACCTGCGTACCACTCTTTTTTGTTTGGTCTCGTTTCTCGGAGTTCATTCGTTGACGAAACTCTATTTCAGAGCAATATTATATCGGGTCTCGATTTCGGTTTCGATACAGATGCAAAACGATCAGTGAGCGGCGGCTCTACAACGGCGGTCGTCGGACTCGTCTCTTCATCGAAGGTAGCTCAAAAGGATTTGGATGGCGAACCGGAAACTAGTGATCATTCTTTTATCGACGATCAGGCTAGTCTCCTCTCTTGAGTTTACTGGTTTAATGGAATAAATTATCGTGTTATGCATGGACTCGGATCAAGTAGTTTTTGCTAGGTTAGGCTTAGTTTGGTATGGATGGCTTGGGCATGGAGTATGATGTGTGTGGATGAATGGTATTGACATGTGGTTGTGGTTTAAGGGGCAGGGTAGATGGTCCTTGGTCTTTGGACGCAAAAAGATGTGTTAGGTTAGGGATAGGGATAGTAGGATGGAATGGAACGGGCAGTGTGTGGTGCGTAGCGCCTCTAAAGGGTGCGTCTGATAGGCTTTTGATAGGTAAAAACAAATTAGTAGATCTTTTCTTGCGCGGGGAAATACGCATGTTATGCATGCTTTGGTATGGTATGGTATGTATGAATGGATGGATGGCTGCATGGAATTGGAACATTGCAAAAAATACTTACTTTACTTGAGAGCTTGGTGAAGGTGATGGTGTTGGTGTTGTAGTGGAGTGGGGTGGAGTGGGAGTAGTGCATACATAGGTACCTAGGTAGTGCAAAGTTAAATTCATTGGTACAAAATATGGTGTTACTTTTTGTTTTTTTGTTGACTCTTTTTTCCTTGACTGATATTTATAGTTGTATATTGGTAAAGTGGTAAAGTTAGGAAGTCGTAGGAGGTAAGGGGAATGATTGGGATGAGGGAATGGGGGATGAGGGATGATGGGAGAGATGGGAGTGATATTAAATCTGATTTGATATATTGATTTGACTTGATGTAGTATATATACAAAGTACCTAGTACTATACTACACTATATATAGTTTAGATATAATATAAGATTAATATCCTGCATCATGAATACAGAGCACATTGACTACACTGCACCGCGTATGTGGGTTTCAATATAATGTAATGTAATACAACCTGTAATGTGGTGATATCTAAAGAAAATTTATATGAAGTGTTTATGTTCTTGTGCTCTGTTATTGCATCTTTATATAGATAGATACCTAGCTAGGTAGGTAGGTAGGTAGCTACTGTAGCCATATCTACAAAGTGTACGCTCGCTTACGCCTTACTTCTAAGCTCCTGGGTTTGTCGATCTGAGTTTGTAGAGCTTTGGGGTTCGTTTAGAAAATATAGATGATGACAATGACAATGATAATGACAATACTGAGGTCTACATTTTCGAGTTCATTTATTTTGTCTTCTATCCTATTATTTCCTATACTTTCCATGATATCCATATCTTAAGCCTTTTGCTGATCTGGATCTGATTTGATCCGATGTGATTTGGTTTCCCGTGTATCGCTCCATTTCTCCAACGCCTGAACTCCGATGCTTGTTCTTATTAAAAATAGATGAAAAGAAGGAAAATAGGAAATGGGGGAGGAAGAAAAAAGAAGGAAGAAGAAACTCTCTCCTCCCGCTTCCAACTACCACCGTTCATAAAACGAGCACAAGTATTAACAACAAAATCAACACAAAAATTAACACCGCAATGCAACAGCTACTCAACGGATCCTCATTCTCCTTCACCAATCGATTCATCCTCTTCATACCACCCTGTAACCTGCCACTCACGCGATCCGTCACCGTCTCCACATCTCGTAGCATCCCCGATTGTTCTTCGAGTTCACGACCCATGTCATCGGCTTGTTGGCGTAGATTACCTACTGTATGAAACACACTATCTAGTTGTTCGTCTTGTTGTTTGAGCATTTGCATTTGTTGCTGGTGTTCGAATTCTGCGGCGTAGTCATCGTCTAGCGGGGACCCGTTGTTGTTGTCATCATATGCAACTCCGCCTGAAGTTGAGGGAGTGGGGTTTCCCATGGTTTTCTCGAGCTCTTCGCGCATATCGTCTACTTCGCCTCCAATTTCCTCTATCATGCGGACTCGCCGGGATACTTCTTCAATTTGTAAACCATATTTGTAAGGATCGGCTTGGATCGCCGAGATGGAATCACGTAGGTCGGAAAGGTCGTCTGTTAGGAGAGAGAGGGAAGTCGTTAGGTCGGAGCGCGCGGAGAGGAGCTCGGGAGTGGGATGAGGCGATTTAGTTAGAGAGTGAATACGTAGATAAGAAGTGAAGAGGGGCCGAGTGAGGGATAGTTGGTGGTGCACATCACTGGAACGGGTGTTAGTTAGTGATGTGTTTGAGTTGATGGCAATGAATTATGCGCAATTGGAATTTAATAAGCATTAAAGTATGCGCGGTTGCGGCGGATGAAGCTTGCGCATAAGTTTGTGAGTTAATGAGCAATGATTGGAAAGGGAGGCATAAAGAAATGGGAGGTTGGTGATATGCATGCATGCATATATGCGGTCGCAGAAGAAGATTTCAGGGTATCTGCTTAAGAGAGGGCTGAACATGAGGGGTAAGGCAGACTGCGGAAGAAAGGCAACTAGCAGGTGGGTAAAAGTGCAAGGGGGTAAAACACAGAGAGGAGGCTAGAGTAACTTACGCTTGAACTTGTAGGAAAGGGTCATCTTCATTCGTAGCGGACATCATCTTGAACGAATGTTTCTTTGGTAAAGTTTGAGCAGCTTAGAACGCTTAGAACTTGCGATTCTGTGTGCCTGCTCCACAGGTGATGTTGTCTAATTCAAATCTAAGACACTCATGTAACGAAAAGTCGGTTGAGCCGCAACTTGGGTATATGAGGAGCTCTTCACAGTACTCCGTAGAACTAGAAGTATCAGGAAGTAATATACGAGCAGGCTCGTTTGTTTGTCAAGTACTTGAGTACAGTCAATCGATAGGATGTTAGAGAAGGCGCTAAATTAAGGTAGGATGCGTATGCATGAAATGACGAGATAAGATGGATCATGCAGTACCTATTGGCTTCCGGAGGGTTGGAAAAGCTACGCAGTACTAGGGAGAGGGATGATAGTTGATGACAAGGCTGACAGAATAATCCACAGTTGCTTACGTACGCATCGGGATTGATCAAAATATTGCCGTTCCGGGCAAGAATATCCGATAAGGCGGAATAGCAAGACTACCGTATAAACTCAGTAACTTTGTAACACACTAAGCCTATTTCGAAAAATGATCGCCCGTACGTTAGGGCTCGGAATCTTCAAGCTCCGATACTTTTTCAACCTCTTTTTTATTATATTATAATTTCAAAATTATTATATTATTTAAATCTATATCGAATAAATTTATAATTTATAATAAAAGGATTCTAAAATCTTCAAAATATTATTTATATATTTTTGTTTATTTCACTTTATCGAAATCATATATAATATCAATAATTACAATAATCAATTATGATTGGTCAAGAATCTGATCGGGTAAAAAACATCTTGTTTTGTACAATTGATTGCCCCCATTTTTGAATTTGATATCAAACTAATCCCAAAATAAGTATAGTCTTATATTCATCCGAAAAACCTTATTCTGAATAGGCTTAGTGTGCTACGAAGTTACTGAGTTTATACGGTAGTACAGTATTAATCATCCAGTCAGTCTGGTGGTCCCATTGTCACTGTCATTGTCATGTGAAATATTCCAACGCTTTCGCTTTCGACCGACGCAAAGAGGCAAAGGTAAATATATCTTATGTCAAAAATAACATTTAGGTTCCTTGGCTGGAGAAGGGTGGGTGGTATAAACGACAATGAGAGCGAATGAAAAGACGGGAAATGCAATGAGATGCTCTGAGATGCATATACAGTGGTAGTAAATCTACTAGCTCTCCCAATTCTAATCTTCCATACATTTTTTGGCGGCAAATTGCATCTTTGGTACACCCATTACGAACGAAACATCACCAACATTGCATAATTCACACCAACCAAGAAACAGCCCTTGTCAAGCATTTCTTGAAACTCCCACTGTTGAGACGTTGAGGAGTTGACAGGTTGAGATGTTGAAAATTAATTGCAATCAATCATTTTCAATAAGCTCGTATTCTTCCGCCAAAGATATGCTGACAAGAGACTTTCAACGGCTGACAACTTTGACATTAACCTTATCCCAAAGGTTCGGAAACATTTCAACTGTTGCAAACATGCAATTGCTATCTATACGTCTTCCATGTAAAACTTCCTGTACATACTAGCCATTCGCTTTGTATCATTTCATCTGGTAATCTTTCAGGACGACGTGGCCAGCGCCTCTTCTCCTTGCATATTTTGTACCTTTGGCAAATTGCCACATATTCGTTGTGACTCTCTCAGCCTGGCTTTCGGGTCTTGTCACTAACCTTTTTTTTTGGTCAAACGGATACCAGCATCAGCACCTATCAAAGCTAGTTCTGTCAAATCACATGTGTTGGTGACTGCTCCTTACATATTCATCACATTTTATCATTTTCATTATTCTTTATTCCTGATTGGGAGCTCAAATAACTCCTAGGTAGTCAGCAGCATTAACTCCGCTCTGTTGCCTACTTTGAGTCAGAATTATCTAAAAATTCTTCCACTTGCTAGTAGAAGCTTTGTAAGAATAAACGTTACAAAAAGAAATCGGTTACACTAACCGCTCATTTGTTGTTGATATCAGAAAAGAAGGTGCGGCTGTCGAATTTCTCGTCTTATTCACAGGAGCTTTCTAGGTGATATACCAGTAGCATGGTACCGGTTGTATCGCCCTTCTTACGTACTTCAACCACATCGTAGTACGTTTTTTTCTGAACCAGTGAATCAGAGCGGACTACACGCCATTCACGCCGTTTGTACCGTGCCGCGTGGTTTGATTGAACACTGCATATGCGGTCTTTGCCATAAAAGCTTAGCACCGCAGCTCTTAAGCTTGTCATCGACTTTAGGGCTCATAATAAATTCCATCCTACACTTTGCAGATCTCTTCTAGACAGCGCCATCTTCGCCAGAGCTTTCCCATTTCTTGTTTGCCTTCATCCTCTCATCATCTTCTTCATTCGTTCTTCCGATCTGAAATTAATCCTCATAGTGAAGAGATGAACGCCATGGATCTCGATGCGGTTTTGGAAGCTCTGCATCAGAATTTATCCGTATCATCTAACAGTAGCACAACAGCAACCTTACTTGGCGGGTTGTTACCGACTACTCTCCTTGAAAATCTCATTCCTGGATATGGCTACATCCATAAGATCGTTCTCCAAACCGTTGGCTTTGATATCACACTTCTTGTTTCTTTATTCGCTGTTTTATGGTTGGGGAGTAAGGCTTTCGATGCATTATGGTCGTGGGTATGGACATTTGTGGGGCGGAATTGGATGTCCGATATCTCCATCAGCAGCAGAGATGAAATACACGACGAAGTAATACAGTTTCTTGCTCACAAGTACCAAATGAAGCCGTCTCGTTCTCTTCAGGCAGAGACAGCTCGTAGGGGATATTGGGACCTGGATAATGAGGATGCCGTCACTTTGACACAACTTGATGGAACTGGTACCACACAGTGGCTCAATTTTGCCGATCAAGACTCCAAGGCTAAACCACAATATACGCCATCTATGGGAGCCAGTCATAGCTTTTGGCACAATGGGAGATACTTTCGTGTTAGACGTTCGGAAAAAACTGTTTTCTCATCCTCCTCGTATGATGACAACCCAGTATCCGATCAACAAATACTGCGCATCTCTTGTTATGGTCGTAGCACGACACCTATTAAGGGGTTTCTTCAAGAGGCGAAAGAATATTCGAACAGAAATCACAGTGCAAAGACTATCATTCGTCGACCTGCGACTAAAGAACGCCGAAGTTGGGGAGGTCGAAGTTCTTGGATTGAGGTAGCTAGACGACCTTGTCGTCCAATGAGAACTGTTGTTTTGGATGAGGTTATGAAAAATAAGGTTCTACGTGATATCAACGAATATTTGAATCCCTCAACTGCTCGCTGGTACGCCATTCGCGGTATACCTTACCGGAGAGGGTATCTCTTCCATGGACCTCCCGGTACTGGCAAAACTTCGTTAACATTTGCTCTTGCCGGTGTTTTTGGCTTGAACATCTATGTTGTCAGCTTGCTAGAGCCTACTCTTACTGAAGAAGAACTCGGCAACCTTTTTACCAATTTACCACCTAGATGCATTGTACTGTTGGAGGATATTGATACTGCAGGCTTGACACGCGTGAATGAAGATAAAGTCGAGTCGGCGGACGAATCCAGCTCGGATAGCAGCAGCAGCGAGAATGAAGCGATCACCAAGAAACACAAGAAGGGCAAGGGTAAAAGCGGTAGGGGTAGACATGGTAGGGGAAGTAAGAAGAGTAAGAAAAGTAAGAAAGATGATGACGATGACAAGAAAGGAATCTCGCTCTCCGGTCTCTTAAATGTAAGCTTGCACCATCCATCTCAAACTAGGCTACAAATTGACAATGTGTTTAGATCATCGACGGTGTAGCATCACACGAAGGTCGTGTTTTAGTAATGACAACAAATCATCCCGAAAAGTTAGATGAAGCTCTTATCCGACCCGGTCGTGTGGACTGTCAAGTGGCATTTACGAATGCCACTCGTCATCAAATCAAAGAGATCTTTGAGAGAATGTACTCTAAAGATCCACCACGGGAGAAACTAATCGCTGCCACTTCTCCTGCTACCTCGCCCGTTCCTCAGATCCAATCCCCCCTCAAAGAAGAAGAAGAAGAAGAAAAAACCCCTCTCCTCTCTTTCACTCCCGAAACCCCACTTCAAAATCCAAAAATAAATCACCCAAATCCAGTCGCGAGCTCAATCCCACAAAAACGTCCCCTAACACCTCCCGATACTCCCATCACCACTGAAACGGAAACGAAAAGTCCCACTCCGATGGAAAAGAAGACCCTCACAATAGCCGATATTGAAAATGATGGCGAAGAGGAAATATTGGCCCCGGGAGAATTATCCACTCTAGCTACGCAATTCGCGGAGCATATTGAGGATTTTATGTTTAGTCCAGCGGAAGTTCAGGGGTTTTTGTTGACGAGGAAAAAGGCTCCTAGGAAGGCGGTTGTGGAAATTGGGGCTTGGGTTGAGGTTACGAGGAAGAGTAAGGTGGAGGGTCAGAAGTTTAGTTAATTGGGCTGGGTTGGGCTGGGCGGGGAGAGTTGGGGGTGTGGGTACGGGGTGTGAGTTAGTCATCGAGTTGGTTAGTTGGTTGGTGGCAGAGTGAATCTGGTGTGTTGGTTTGCCTTTTTTTAAAAAAAAGTTATGAAGTGCATGAAAGAAAGAAAACATGGAAAATTAAGTATGTTGTTTCCTCCTCTTTTTCTTCTCGTATTTTTTCTTTGGTGAGAATGAGAATGAGATGGGTTATCAGGTGTGTATATTATCAATAACAATCACAATATCTGTACATGGAGTAGTTGGGACATGGGAAAGAAGATGGAGGTAAGACGTAAGAAGAAAAGAAAATAGAAAGGATATCCTAGTCAAGTCTAGAAAAAAGTTATATAATACAATGTTATTTACTCTATACATTCAGAAATCAGATCAAATTCTGATTGATGAATCTTTATTTTTTTTATTTTTCTAGTAATTAAAATCATATTAATTATTCCTTATTTGTTTTTTTTGGAGGGGAATGTCAAATTCTCACTTTTATATTACATTATTGAAATTCTATTATAAAAATAACATAAATTTAATAATATAATTTTCTTTATTATTAAAACTTGAATATATAAATAAAAAAGTTAGGTTTTGGTGTAAAAAGGCCCTCGCCTAATTTTCTGTAACGATACTGTACTAAAGGCAGCGGCTGCCTAAGGTTTCGTCTGGTTGGTAGTTGTAGGTTAAGGCTTTATCACTGGTATTCACTTGGAAGTGAAGTCGTTACTAGATCAAGTAGAATGTAGGTAAACTAATTGATAACTAAGTTGAGCACGAAGCTCCTTAACTACGAGACTAAATGAATGTTTATATACCCTATATCATCTTTGAGGACCTCTGGGACCCTTCGGTCCTTAAGGTCCTCGAGGTCACATGAATTAATGAATCGTGACATTTTCATTTGCAGTAGACAAATCTATTTTCAATCCTTGGGTTGAAAGATGAGTAATCAATGGATTGTTTCTATTCAAGTATTATTATATCATCGCATGTACAAGAAGTATGAGGAATGAATGATGTAGAGACACTTCTCCTATATCTCAAATGTATGTAAGATTACGCTCCCTTTCCAATCCCATCCCATTTCATCCTATTTTACACATCCATCTCACACCTCCCTCCCTATCCCCTTCAAATGTCCCAATACAGCACCTAACCTCCTTAAAGCTTTCAAATCGCCAGTATCTTTCCCCTCTCCGGTTTTGCCTTCTTTTTCCTCCCTTTGCAATTCTTCCCTAGCTTCTATAACCAAGGGTAATAAACCTCCCCACACTTCATCCGTATACCCCCTCAACACACCCTTCCAATCGCTTTTCCATTCTTCCTTACATTTTCCCTTCCCATCATCCATTTTATCCTTAAACACCACACCCGCGAAAACATCCCCTTTCGCATCCTCCTCCCCCTTACTCCTCTCCTCCTCCCTCCATCTTTCCTCTCTTTCCCTCTCATACCCAGGAACAAGATCCAACGAATGAACCCCCTTAGGAATTCCACGAACCACCGGTTCCAGAAACAATAAATCCCTCGTAATTTTTCTAATTCTCTCTCTTTCTTCCTCACTCATTCCCCATTTCCATTCCCATTCATAACCTTTCATCTCCTGTTCATTTGTTGCCCATTCTTTCTGTTCCGTCAATAATTCCTCCATTTCTTCCTCAAAATTTAAATTTGCTCCACCTATTTTTGATAATATTTCTCGAACTTCTTCTCCGTCTCTTTTTTCTTGTTCTGATATATCTGTATGATTATACCCAACACTTTTAGATCCGTCTTTTTCAGAATATCCGGAGGAAGACACTTTTCCATTTTCCCCAGTAGAACTTATCTTAGAAGAAGCAACTGACTCGCTAAGGAATTTTTTCATATCAAAATCTCCAAGCTTATCGATTTTGACCTGTGGGTTTTGAACCCGCTCTGTAGAAGTAGAAGCACCAGAAGTCCGAGCCCATACATTTCCCCAGTCCGAATTCGTACTTTCCTGTATCAGATCCGGATTTGAACTAGAAACTGCACCATATTTAGGATGAAATCGACCCATATCACTATTCATTCCTTCTCCTCGTCCCTCTACCTCTGCATCAGCATCCTCCGTAAACATATTCGAATTTCCCTGCGAGAGAAAATCCGCACCAAAAGCAGCACCAGCACCAGAGCCAGAGCTAGAAGATGTTGCATAATCCACTCGACTGCGGCTGTGGCTCCGATTTTCAACTCCAGATGCAGCTCCTGATCCAGATCCAGATCCAGATGCAAAACCAAAATCATCAGCCGGCGTAAGCGAAGGAACACGATCCAAAAAATCCGAAAATTCATTTTCGCTCTGCTGCATATGCCGCACCCTCTCACCTAGACTTTCACTAGCCTTTCCATCCCCTCCATATCCTTCCAAATTACTATTCCCCAAGCTCCTCATCCCTTCAGTTCTCGGGGCAGGACCCGCAAACCCAACACCAGCATCTCTCAAACTAGAAGATCCTACATAATTCTCACTTCCACTCCCACTCCCTCCCGCCTTCCCGCTCATTAAACCCATCATATCCCTCCTCAATCCCTCACCACCTTCCCTCTCACTCCCACTCCCACTAAAAACATTTCTTCCCAATCCCATGGCCGAAGCACCTACACGCGCTAATAGTGAAGATTGAGGTTGTTCATCTCGATTTGTTGGTACGTGCATATTATTTCCATTAGCATTACCATCCTTATGATTATTATTTGATTTCATTTCCGCTGGAGCTGTAGCTGGAGCTGGAGCTAAGGTTATCTCCTTGCCTTTTCCTCCTTTTCCTTTTAGATCGCTGAAGCTCATTGTGGGATTATGAATATGTATATAGATAGATATTTAATCAAGACGAGCAGACGAGTAGATAAATCAATAAGCAACGAAACCCGCGCAATATCAATGGATATCTAAATACTGAATTGAATCATGTGAAGAATTGATATGTTAATGTCGATATCGTAAATTCCATTTCACAATTAATTCGTACATTTAGAACCGAGCCATTCCGCATTCCCGATCGCCTCCCTTCGCCTCGCCTCGGTTGAAGTTAGCTTACAGTAAGGAAGTTCCAGATTTTTTCCGTCCACTGCCTGACATGTGACTTTCGTCTCAACTCACAAACAATTAAAAATGAAGTTGTGTAACTTTTCTATGGCTCATTCATCAATACGAGTATTACAATATATTAATTTCTATCATGCTTTTCCGGAAGGGCAGAGGGGGCTTGTGTTTCTAGCGCGCACCCGGCAACCCAAATGTGCTGCATTTTGAAATATTAATTGTATATATGCGTTTCATATGAAAAATTGCATGTCTAGACACATCTATCACCAGCACATAGGTAATCGTATCAAATTCATATAAAGTTATTTTATTCAACAACAACAACAACAACACCTTATATACGGGTACTACAAGTGGCACGCTGAAAAACCCCGCAAATAATTGATATCATACCACCGCATTCCCCAACCGGCTATGCTACAACTCAAGTTTATTCCATACCCTGCTCAAGTCAAAGATCCATAGATCATTCCTGATCTTGAAGTAATGCCGATTCTTTTATCTTTGATCATTCCTCCTCGAAGGCCATCGCCTATCCTTCCCCATCGCTTGTCATATAGGTACCCCATAGAACCTGCAGTCAACCCCTTAAGCTATTACTCCACGTGCAAAACTTGTACATCTAGTATACACGCTTGAATGGTGGAACAGCCTTGCACTCATTCTCATCCAGGGTGTGACCAACGACGGCTCTGTAGGTCAAATCAGTCTTTCCTTGTGGCTTCTTCTGGAAGGTCAAAGAATGCTTCATCCATTCATTGTCATCTCTCTCTGGGTAATCTTCACGGGCATGTGCTCCTCGAGATTCCTTTCTGGCGGCAGCTGCCTCGGCGGTTTGAACACTGTGTTAAGTTAGTATGAATATTTCCTAATCTTTGAAGGCATGCATAGGAAAAACTTACGCGCAAGTCAACAAATTTCTCAACTCCAAGGTTTCAACCAAATCCGAGTTCCAGATCATACTTCGGTCTTGGGTCTTGATATCATTGAATGTTTGATCGACAGCGTTAATCTTGGTGACACCCTCATCCAAACTCTCTTGAGTTCTGAACACACTGACATCTGTCTGCATGGTCTTTTGCATAGCTAGACGGATTTCGTGTGTGCTCTTAGTGCCATCGGCAGTTCTGATTTGGTCAAGGACGCTAATAGATTCGGCACCAGCATCGGCGCTAATCTCCTTGTGTGGCATACCAGGCTCGAAGTTATCGCGAATTGTGTGGGATACTGCACGGCCGAAAACGATCAAATCAAGAAGTGAGTTGGCTCCGAGACGGTTGGCACCATGTACGGAAACACAAGCAGCTTCACCGCATGCAAAAAGACCCGGTACAACCTTATCCTTACCCTCAGCATCAACAGTGAGAACCTCACCAGTGTACTTGGTTGGGATACCACCCATGTTGTAGTGGACGGTTGGGAGGACTGGGATAGGTTGCTTGGTAACATCGACACCAGAGAAAATGGATGCGGTCTCAGAAATACCTGGAAGACGTTCGTGCAGAACATCAGGTGGAAGATGGCTGAGTTGGAGGTAAATGTGATCCTTGTCTGGCCCAACACCACGTCCTTCCCTGATCTCCATGGTCATTGATCTGGAAACCACATCACGAGAAGCCAAATCCTTAGCAGTTGGTGCGTAACGTTCCATAAATCTTTCACCCTCAGAGTTGAGAAGATATCCACCCTCACCACGAGCACCTTCAGTGATCAAGCAACCAGCGCCATAAATACCGGTAGGATGGAATTGAACGAATTCAAGATCCTGGTTAGGTAATCCTGCACGAGCGACCATAGCCATTCCATCACCAGTACAAGTGTGTGCAGATGTACAACTGAAGTAAGCACGTCCGTAACCACCGGTGGCCAAAACAGTGTTGTGTGCGCGGAATCTGTGGAGTGTACCGTCTTCTTGGTTGTATGCGATCACTCCCTTACATTCACCATCCTCCATGATTAAGTCGAGAGCGAAGTATTCGATAAAGTAGTTTGTGTTGTGCCTTAAAGATTGACCGTAAAGAGTGTGGAGAAGTGCATGTCCGGTTCTGTCAGCAGCTGCACAACATCTGTATGCTTGACCACCCTTTCCGAACTTTTGTGATTGACCACCGAAGGCACGTTGATAGCTAAATTGACTGTTAGTATAGTGCCATAAATGGGCTACCAGTTCCGCTTACATCTTGCCGTCGTCCGTTCTTGAAAATGGGCAACCATAGTTTTCCAACTCAATGACAGATGCTGGTGCTTCTCTTGTCATATAATGAATAGCGTCTTGATCTCCTAACCAATCTGAACCCTTGACAGTATCGTACATGTGCCATCTCCAGTCATCTTCGTGCATATTACCCAAAGCGGCATTGATACCTCCTTGCGCTGCTACCGTGTGTGATCGAGTTGGGAAAAGTTTCGATATGCATGCAGTGTTGAAACCAGCTTCCGCAAGACCGAATGCTGCTCTTAAACCAGCTCCTCCAGCACCAATGACAATAGCGTCATATTCGTGATCCTACCCAAACAATCAGACGACATACTTCCATATGTAACTTGGGATACATACTACGACGGGGTATTTGTTGCTCACGAAAGGCGAGGCTTCCTTTGCTCGAAGTGGCGCATGTGTGATAATTCTCGCTGCAGATTAGTTAGACACTAGCCATTGGACCGGGCATTGAAGCTGTGGCAGACATACCTGCAGGTCTCGTCGATGAGAAGGATCTGGTTTGATTTTTCAATGCCCTCGAGAACTAGCATAATGGCAGAGATTAGCATTTTGTTATTTTTTGGCTTGACAGACGCGGGGCCCGAGGTTAAAGAGTGGAACGAACATACCGAAGGACCAGCTGTGAATCTACGCATAGCAAATGAAGACATTGTGTAGAATATTATGAAAAGAAAGATGAGAGAAGAAGAGTGTGAGAGTGCAACACCAGAATTAATCAGAGGTCTTTAGACCTTTTAGAGATTTGGGAATGGAGGCAACTCAGGCTAGTGTCAAGTCAAGATTCACAAGACCCTTCTCTAAATCTTTCATCCATCCGGCATTAAACAGAACGATGATGGCTCGATGCACCTTAGTAAGTGATTTTGCTCATCGAGCCAATCACATAAACCGATTTCCAATTGTTCATAGGACATTCCGAGCACAAGTAGCCGAAAGCCGGAAAAGTCCGTACACCAGAAACACCAAGACCGCAAAAACATTGGATCGAGAATGTTTTCTATTGTATATAACAAATTATCTTTAGTACCAATTATATATTTCAAGGTCGAATAAAGCTATACTTTGTAGATAAGTGAAGAGAGAGTATATTGATCTAGTTTTCAACCAGAAATATCAAGTGGTTGAATTGATATCGATTTTCAAAGAAATCGTTCATATGTTTCTTACCTGTGGTAGGTAAATTTCGTATTCGGGAAGGAATGCCAGCAAGATCCTCGATTAACATTTGTGGGGGGCAAAACTTCCCCAAGGTTTAAGAGGAGTCAGGATATCGGATATCATTGTTCTCTTACCATAGATCATCATACATTTTGTTAACATTTGTAAGTTCCAAAATATCGATGCGATGAGATAAGGGCTACCAACATTTAGATCCAGGGGAAGGTTGTCGAACTGTACGAAGTAAGGTTACTAGTCTTCGCAATGAAACCTAATCGTCGACGAGAATACCAAGTGGTCTTGTCAAGTCCAGAATTAGTTTTTGCAGCTTTCATTAAAAAATCTCATACAGCAAGGTAAAAGAGTAAGCACTCATCGTTCTATTCATTTGTATTTGAGCACCGATACATTGCTTGAGCTTCTGATATACTTTCCAAATATTCTGCCTCCACGGCAGTGGCCTCCGGAGGGCCAGCGGAGCGTCAGTTCCATCGATAGTGGGGACTTAATTGAATTCTCATATAGACGATGTTCCTGTGTGTTGCCGATATACATCATATACGGAGTATACGCTCTTAGAACCGTTTACTTGGGATGATTTGAGTGGTACAGAATATGTTATGGCTATTTCATGCCCCCGGTATTCGGCAACATGCAATGCACGAAGCGGATAATTTGTTTCTTTCTTGGCATGTCACTTCATGACAATCCTTTTCCTTACTCCTGGCAATAGGGTGAAATATCCATGTTATATCACAAGTTATAAAATGTAAGCCTCCTTCCCCACAGTTCCCCGGAAAAGTACCTCGTGGTCATTTCACAGTATGTGATGACCAGGATGAATGGCGGCAGAAAGTCTCTATGGCGCCGACTTATATCAAAATATATTGGGATTTAATAAATTCTATCTTTTAAGTATCACGTTCGTCGGCAAGATCATCCGTAGAATTTAAAATGGTGTGAAATATTGCCCAAGCGACCAAACGGGTAATAGCAATACCTTTCGAAACCTGGAGAATTTTTGGCTCCTGCCATAATGTTCTGTTTCCCGTATGTCCTTTCTTGCTGTCCCGCGCATAGATAGTTTTGAATTCATCCATCAAGTATCGCGACATTCCTAATTGGGCAATGTCTGTCTCCAACCCGTGAGTTCATATATAACTAGGACTGCCTGCCCATGTTAGAATACGCCTTTCCAAATTCTCTTTCGCAGGACACGTTCTTTGTACATTTCTTGTTAGATTTTCTAGAAAGTTACCAATATGCGGCTTTCGAGTTTATTTTGTGGCATTATCGCCATTGCTTCTTACGGTCGGTTTTTCCCCCAAAAGTATCATGTCCAGACATATTCTAACATCGTCTAGCTGTTTTCGAGGTATCAAGTCAGGACTTTGCCGCTCATGGCTATTACACCGAGCCTAACACAGGCATTACATTCTATACAAGCACCGAAGGTAATGGGACAATCGTAGGCGATGGAGAATTCTCGTTAGTTTCACAAGGAGGTTACACCTTCGGAATGGCATTGCCCCCAAGTGCATTGACTACAGACTCTTATGATTATATTGGCTTAATTGTGAGTTGCATTTATCTTTAAAATATGGCAATAGCTAATTAAACAAGATCGGTTCACTTCCTAATGGTACAGGGTGGAGTGGTGTTGTTCACGGTCAACAACTTAGTGCTTCAATGCCAGGACATTTGCTACTAATCGCTTGGCCTTACAATGGTCAAATAATAACTTCATTTCGTTATGGGTAAGTCTCTTTGGTCCTCCTATAATTAATACGATTAGATTTGTGAGCTGACAGATATCCAATAGTTCTTATTCAACACCTGTACTATATGGAGGATCTGCGAGCGTGACACAACTTTACTCCTCTATCAACTCTACACACTGGGTCCTCGTCTATAAATGCACCAATTGCTTAAAATTCGATGATCCAACTCAAACAGAATATAATGTTAGCACATCGGCAGGTGGTTTCGAGTATGGATGGGCTCAAAATATTGGAGCTCCGGATAATCCGTCTGATCCTGCTAATGCGGTCATATATCGTAAGATCTCTGAACAATTTTTTATACCTTGAGCTTAACCTCGCTTCTTGTGTGTATCCAGTGCCACACTCAGTCCTTTTTTCACTTTTCCTATTCTATCATAAACATTCTAACGACAACAGAGCACAATAATGGCATGGGTGAATTTTCTATTAAAGTGGCTTCTGCAACCCAGTCCTCTTATTCAGAATGGGCTACCATGACTGCCACGATTACAGCAACTACTGGTACAGCCACTGCTACTGCTACTTATTCCACATCTCCAATTCCAACTTCCACATCCTATGATTATATCGTTGTTGGTGGAGGGGTACGTATTTTCCTTTCTTATGGTCGTTTGTTGTCACGGAAGGGGATATAGACCTCACTTCTATGTGGACTTTAGACTCTCCTCTCAAGCCTTGATTGATTTTTTATCCTTGATGTTGAGAAATAAAGTACTAAGAAGTCATTTTCTCTAGGCTGGAGGAGTTCCGATGGCAGACAAACTAGCTCAGAGTGGAAAGTCTGTGCTCTTGATAGAAAAAGGGGTCGCTTCTTCAGCTAGATGGGGTGGAAGTAAGTACTATATCAACTATAAACTACACCCACTAACAATGTCTAGCGATTCGACCTGAAAGTGGTTGGCTTTCTGGAAGTAATCTTACTTGGTTTGATATTCCAGGAGAATGTAACAGAATTTGGCATGGTGGAAGTTCTGGTGTCGCTTGTGATGATGTCGATCAAATGGCTGGATGCGTTTTAGGTGGAGGTACTGCTATCAATGCAGGTCTATGGTGGAATCCAGATCCATCAGATTGGGACTACAACTTTCCTCCTGGATGGCAATCAAAAGATGTACAAGCCGCTACCTCGAGAGTCTTCAGCACAATTCCCGGCACTGATCATCCTTCGATGGATGGTAAATTATACCTTCAGTCAGGGTACAACATTGTCGCAGGTGGTCTTAAAAATGCTGGTTGGACAAATGTCACAGCGAACAACGTACCGGCCCAAAAGAATCGAACATTTGCCTATGCGCCATACATGTACATCAATGGAGAGCGTGGCGGTCCATTAGCAACCTATTTGGTGGATGCAAACAAACGCTCCAACTTCCATATGTGGCTCAACACTAGTGTGAAGAAAATCATTCGTGATGGAGGACATGCAACAGGTTTGTTGGTTGAAGCTACAAATAATGGAGGTCGACAAGGAGTCGTTAATTTGACTGCAGTCACAGGTCGAGTAATAGTATCAGCAGGTGCTTTTGGAACTCCCAAACTCCTTTTCAGAAGTGGAATCGGTCCCACAGATCAACTAAATGTAGTTCTTTCCTCCACGGACGGCCCAACAATGATTAACTCAAGCTATTGGAATAATCTCCCTGTTGGCTACAATCTCGACGATCATCTTAACACTGATACACAAATCTCCCATCCTAATATATCCTACTACGATTGGGTAGCCGCATGGAATACTCCGATCACTACAGACGCCAGCTCCTACCTGACAAAACGCATTGGACCTCTTGCCCAAGCAGCCCCAGATATAGGCCCCATGTTCTGGGAGCAAATCACACCCGGCGATGGCATTCCCCGCGCCATCCAATGGACCTCACGAGTCGAAGGTGATACACCCAATGCCATGACCCTCTCCTCCTACCTCGGACGCGGTCAAGTAGGTCCTCGAGGACGAACAACAATTAGTAAAGGTCTCACCATGTCCGTCTCTACCATGCCATGGGGAAACAAATATGATCTCGATGCAGTCGCTACAGCTATCGATCATATGGTCGCAGCTCTATCTACGGTTAAAAATCTAACTTTTATTTATCCACCGCCTGGTATGACAGGTGCGCAATATGTGGCTAGTGTACCGCTTGCATATGGGAATATCGGAGCAAGACGCTCGAATCATTGGTTAGGAACTGCAAAAATGGGAACGGATTCGGGATTACTGGGTGGGACTTCAGTGGTTGATTTAAATGCACTTGTTTATGGAACTGATAATATTCATGTTGTTGGTAAGTATTTTTTCTGTACCCTTTTATTTACTTCCTCAAGGCACTCATCCCTTATTTTCATTCTCGAATAATCACATCCTAATACTAATACCTAAATCAATAATAGATGCATCCATCTTCCCGGGTATGCCCTCCACAAACCCTAGTTCCCTAATCGTCATAGCAGCCGAACATGCAAGTCAGAAAATCCTCGCCCTTCCTCCTTTGAAAGCTCTTCCTCAATTCGCACAATGCGGAGGTTCGTATTTTGATTTCACGTCGGGAGCGGCTTGTGCGGCCCCTTATAAGTGTACGGTGGGAAATTCTTATTATTGGCAGGTATGTATTTTATGATTTTTGTTTATTATGTGGAGTTTTCTAGGGGGATGTGTGGTTGGATGGTTGTATGCTTATTTGGTTGGATGGTTTGGCTAATGTGATTTTGTAGTGTTTGTGAGGGGAGAGAGGGGAGAGAGGGGAGAGAGGGGAGAGAGGGGAGAGAGGGGAGAGAGGGGAGAGAAGAACTTTGGGAGTGAGGGAATGGATGGATTGGATTATGGAGTGTATGAATCAGAAAAATGAATGCAGAAAAATAAATAGGAAAAGAGAAATAGTGTATGAAAATCCATAGTCATACTTCTATTTATTCCATCATATTATAAGATCTTATAGAATATTATTCCCTCCGATCAATAAAACCCATCCCATCCCATCCCATCCCACTACTATTCCTTAGCTATCTAACTAAAATCCCCAACTAAATAAATAAATAAATAAATATCTATATAATCTTATTTATGTATTACACCATCCCTCCATCTATCCCAAGCCCTCTTCACTTTCACATCCATTCATCTTTCCCATCTCTCTATTAAGACAAACTAAACTATCAAATCATTACTATTTACTATCTCGAGTTCTTGATTGAGTAGGTAAATGTACTACAAATACATATATCCAATTGTATAAATTTACATATAAAAAGATCTTATATATTATAATATATAATCTTATCATTTCCCAACCTATCCCATCTCATCCTAACAACACTATTACAAATAATCATACCTATACATACCTACCTAAGTACATACACATATCAATGAATGGATGAATCTCACAAGAACAACAATAA